AGAAACTAGTCTTTTGTCAGCAACCATGTAGTTTCTTCTTAAGAATACCGTATTGTGAAGAATAGGGTCAAAATATTAGCCCTCCTGTGAGTTTTATTTGTTAAATATTTCCCAATTAATGATTAACAGCAAAGAATTTTTCACAGTATTTCCAATAATATTTTTTCTTCTGGAAAAAGTCTTATTTGTTTTATTTCGGCTAGAATAAAAGCAGTTTTTAATTATTTTTTAAAACCATTTTAAGGTCAATATTATTAGTCCCTTAAGCTATATATTTTTTCGATAGTCTACAGAACAAACCATCACTATACAATGACTTGTGTAATTACCTTAACTTGCCTAATTAACCTAGTTAGTCTTTAAATTGTACTTTAAGCGGAATAGTATCTTGAAAAATGTCTTGTAAAATATTGTTCACTGCCATCATTGCAAAGATAAAATGAACCAGTTATGAGTTATTCAAACGATTATGTTTAGAAATGTGTAGAAAAAAATCTTCTTTCCATTAAACAGAAATTGGGGAAAAAATATACAGGGGGCGAATAATTCAGGAGGGCTAAAAATTCTGACTTCAACTGTTTATTTTCAGATATTGTGTTTGTCTGCAGCTGTATCTGCAAATTCTTGAGTTTTTTTGAGAGACAAATTAATTGTTTTATATTCAATCAATTAAAAAAATAATAAAAAACATTGTTACCTTATTCGTTTTGTGTTGGGACAACATAAAGGGATTGTGTTTGAAGGGAACCCTACATTTTTATAGTGAATTTAAGACGCATTTGTATTTTGTTTATTTATTACACGTTATGTTTATTTTTCTGTATTATTTTTAAAAATCAGGTTTTGTTTTCATTCTTGTTGTGAATGAATGCAATGAGGACATTACCAAGACAACAAAACTTGTCATAAACATAAACATGATTGCTGTGAAGCCATTATATATTTATTGAATTTTATAACAGTATATGTTATATCTATATAATATCTATTAAATTGTCATTAAATATAAATGCCGCTCTTAAAAATAATTTGAAGAGGAACCACGGTTTTAATGAGACATGAAAAAGTTGCATGACGCAATTATAATGACAATCATGTTTATGACAGATTTATGACAAGTTACATTGTCTTGATAATGTTGTAATAACACCAGTTGTGATGTATTTGTCTTAAGATGTCATATACAATGTCATCTTTGCATTTAAAATGACATAACTGACCAAATGAAACTTAATAACATTTGTCATAAGTTGACATTCACATTCATGGCAGTCTTATTAACACCCCCTTTAAGTTGACTATTTTTCTGGTAAGCTGGTCATCTACAGAATGCCGTATATTACACAGAATTTTTTTTTTTTTTTTTACTTTAGATGGATGTAAACCTACTACAGCAGGCAGAGGCTTTCAAAACAAGACTAGCAACCATTAGAACGGCCTAAGTGCACTTTAAAGGTTAGCTGGATGTGGCTCACTGAGGACTGAAAGCTAGGGGGAAGCTTTTCTCTAGTTGTATTGATAAGTGAGAGCATTCCCATGCAGACCTCGCTAATTGTGCTGAGAAAGAGTGAATTAATAATTTACAGGCAACTAGAGAGTCAGTAAAGCATGCTGCGTGTGTGTGTGAGAGTGAGAGAGATCTCGGTCATGACTAATCTCGCTCGTGCCTGGACGTTTTCATTGTGCCTGCATGTAAGCGTCGTCACCATGGCTACTGATTTGAATGCCCGCTGGTGAGTCATGGCAGTGGAGTATTCAGACCACACAGCGGGTTACTGTGATGTCACTAAACAAGCAAAAGCTTTTTATACATGGAATGGTAGAACGTCGCCCTCTTTAATTGTTACTGAAGATCAAAGGCATAGTTTCGGCCCTTGGCATTACATCCTGGCCATTGTGTCTATTCAGTGAGTCAGCGATCCAGTTTCGGACCCCAAGAGCCAAACCCCCAGTACAATAGAAGTGATACTATATGGTTGTATCACAAATGACACAATATACAGCAGTGTTTCTCAACCATGTTCCTATAGGACAACCAACACTGCAAGTTTTGGATGTCTTCTTTGTCTGTCACACACATTACAGGTCTTTCAGTCTCTGCTAATAAGATAATTAATCAGGTGTGTTTGGTTAAGGAGACAGAAAATGGGCAGAGCTGGTGATCCTTCACATTGTAAAAAAAAAAAGAAGAAGAAAAAAAAAGAATATAAAAATATATATTATTAGTCCTGACAGCATATGTTTTTGAGTCATTGTAACTTCCCAACAAACACAATTACGTTGTAGCAATGTCTAATATTGTTAATTAGTTAATAACTACGTTAATCATGTTCTAACTTAATTTTATAAGTTACCCAAGCTCTTTTAAATCAGTTTAACAAAATAAAATTTCAATACACTCATATGTTTAATTTAATTCAGCTTAAAAATTTAAGGCAACCTAATTTTTTTACAGTCCAGTATATGGTTGACAAACACTGATGTACATAATGCGCTTATACACTTTGCACTTTTATGAACTTTGTATGGTTGTTTTGTCATTCATCATCAGTAGGAAGCATCCCAAAAATTTTTTTTGGCTGCTTCTTCAAACTGCTTATTTAAAATGAGCTGAAACAACACAATTCTGGAGATTGTTTTGAAAAACTTGATTTTTTTTATGTCCAATCAACCTAAATTTGTTATTGACTTAATCAATTTGTGTCGGGACACACAAAGGTAAATTTGGTAATAAAGGTCATTGACATTAACACCTGCCAACCTCCCAAATGTGGGTAGATTTAAGCTGTAGCGAGTTATACAGCCATCGCCACTAGCCATTTTGCCTGGTTGGAAATAATTTTTGTATTGTACTTTTCTTTAAAGAAGAGTTCGACAATAATGATGGCCCAATATGCGTGCAAATGCGATAGAATCGAGAAGCAACATGACTGACAAAAATAATTGTGTTTGCGTGAGCAAAAGAAAGCAGGTGAACACTGAATGAGAGGATGATGACTCCCGCCAACAGCTGATGTGATGTGCACAACTGTGTAAAACGCGTGCGCGCTTCCATTTCCTTGCGTGAAGCAACCGTGCCTGGAAATGCAACTAATGTGATCACTTCTCTTTCAATTAGACTTAAAAAGTTATGCTCATGTACCCTACAGTCTTGCTGTCTTTAAGAGCTTCAGATTTGTGTTTTTGTAAGCAGCACCGGTTGCTTTCGCTTTAACCATTTGTGAACTGATTATTATTGACCTTATTGGCTTGTTTTTCACTTGTTTTCTTTTGCTTACAGTTATTTTTGTTAATATGGTTTAATTAGGCTATCATTTTTTACAACAGCATTGCTTTAATGGGAGATTAGCTCCCCATTTAGTTAACTAGTGATCTGAGAGACCTTTAGCCAGGACAGATTACTGTAGATATTTTAGATACATGACAAAAATTATTTTTTAAAAGTCAATTGTTTTTTTTTTTTATTGTTTTTTTTAAGAAATGTTTTTATTTTTAAAAATTATAGTATACAGCTATATTTTGCTTTTTTGGCATTTAAAATTTGTGACTAAGGAATAATTATTTATTTATTTTTGGTGTGGTCAAAGATAACTTTGGTAAATCCTACATTTTGAGCTCTGAAAAGTCATGTGAAATAAAAAGTAATTGTAATGCGACACTATGAAACCATGACCCTTTTGCCTATGCACACTGAGGAAGCTCATAAACAACACACAAAAAGTTGAATTAATGAGGAGGCATGTGGACATCATACTAAATATAAACCAGGTAATTTTAGCATGTGACAAAATTGTGCCAAGTGAAAATGGCGAATGGCTAATAATGTTGGAAATCTATTAGCCACAGTGGCTGGTGATCAAAAAGGTAATGTCAAGCCCTGCCTGTAATCACTTGGTAGTAGCTTTTATTATTGTATTATTTTATTAATGTTCAAAAAAAAATTTAAAACTACAATAGAAAGTAGAAGAAAAGGGATTGCTAGTGGTAGAAGATCAAAACCATTTGTGGATAAAGAGAGAGAATAAATAAAGAGTGTAAAATATTAGTGTTGAATATTAGTATTATTTTGTATTATTTTTAACAAAAGATTTTCTTTTTTCTGACATTTTGGAAATTGACAGTGTGTACATGGGAGAAATATCCATTCACAATATTTTAGCAATATTTATTGCAGCAATTTTATATCAATACACAGACACCCAAATCAATTTATTGTGTAACAGTTTATTATATTATTTGGTAGAATATTAGTTTATTTACACTTGTTATCAGTTTTCAATATATTTAATAAAGTGTTAAACTTGAGCTGAACATGAGCTTTTTTTTGGAAAAGGACATTATGGAAAAGACATGTTTTCATTAGAGTGTTGGTTTGCTTAACAATCCCATTTTGCATGAAAATTCATACGGGATAAACAAACTGTGGAGTGTTTCTGCTTAGTTTAAACAGACGTTTTTCCTTTAAAGACATTATTTAAAGTGAATTATTTGCGATATATTGCAGAATACTGTCATACAGGCTTCACTGTGGCGCAGTGGGTAGCACAATTGCCTCACAGCAAGAAGGTCGCTGGTTCGAGCCTCGGATGGTTCAGTTGGCGTTTCTGTGTGCAGTTTGCATGGGTTTCCTCTGGGTGCTCCGGTTTCCCCCACAGTCCAAAGACATGTGGCATAGATGAATTGGGTAAGCTAAATTGTATATAGTGTGTGAATGAGTGTGTATGGATGTTTCCCAGTGATGGGTTCCAGCTGGTAGGGCACCCGCTGCATAAAACATATGCCGGATTAGTGGGTGGTTCATCGCTTAATAAAGGGACTTAGCAGAAAAGAAAATGAATGAATGAATGAATGAATGAATGAATACTGTTATACAGTTTGGGGACTCTGGTGATTCCCGACCCTAAAAATGTAATGTGCTCCAAAATGTAATAGAATAGTGCATATACACCAGCTAGGATAGACATTAAGTAACATTCAACAATTGGAAAATCCCGCCAAAACAAACTGATAAAACATTTTTATTAATTATGCCATTTTTATATTATGCATAATTCCGCTTCCTGGCTGTTTGATTTAGCTTGTCTAATCAGTAACTAAATCTTAAATGTTCATTTAAATACAATCCTTATCTAATTTTACATTATTATTGACTGTTTTGTTACTACGAAATGAGCAGCTATGTTTTTTTGATTATAAATACATTCAATATGACACTGAAATCATTTAACACATTCAACACTGCCCAACAGTCATACCTACCTACTTCCAATAACAACAACCTGGCTCATTGAGTATTATTATACCAGTGTTTCTAGTGTGCTGGACTTCTCACTATTGCAGTGTCTTTGTGAGGCAACTGATGCTCTTTATCCACCAATAATGGCACATGGTGGGTTCTTCTTAAAGGTCGGAGAGATTTCATTTGTTCATCTGCTGTGTTTTACTGTCTTGTTTGGGATTTGTGTTTCAGTCTTCAACATGGCCGTTCACCATCCCAGACTCCCAGCGCTCAAGTAATGGATTTCGCTGCCTTGAAATCTTTAGGGTTTTCTGTATTTATCAGAGCAGAAGAGTGGAAACATTAGTGAGTGCATTTAAAATTCAACACCTCTAGCACACACAGCTTAGTTTCAGTGAAAAATCTGACTAACCCCTGTGTTGCTCTAAACACATTTGACATTTTTCCTTCATAAAAGTGATTTGAAGTGAAGTGAATTGAGCAAACTGAAAAATCCCCAGACTGTTTTAATGTGCAGGGAAAAATAATAATTCGTCCCAAATGTATAATTCATCCCAAAATTAAAAATCACACAATTTATGCACCCTAATATCACTGCAACTTTGATTTATTTAATTTGTTAGGCTTAAAAGTAAATAGGAAATGATGGTGGATTGAGAAAGCCAACATACTGTTATACTACATACATTTATTCTTCTTCCGTCTTCTTCTTCTTAGACTATTTTAAGAATGCATCTCCTCCAGGGGTGTCCAAACTCAATCCTGGAGGGCCGATGTCCTGGAGAGTTTAGCTCCAACCCTAATCAAACACACCTGAAGCAGCTAATCAAGCTCTTACTAGATATACTAGAAACTTCCTGGCAGGTGTGTTGAAGCAAGTTGGAGTTAAACTCAGCAGGACACCGGCCCTCCAGGACAGAGTTTGGACACCCCTGTCCTTGACAGTTCATACTACAACCACCAAACCAACTCCAAACCTCCAAACTGTACTGAATTAAGTTGCTTTATCTTTTCCAACTGATCCGACTTACCGTTTTCACAAAATTGACCTGGAAAATTTAGAAAAGTTCTATTGACTTAACATTAGACCAAACTTTGTGACCTCATAATTTTGCGCCAGACTGTCATACAAACTTAAGGTTAGGCTCATTTAACTGAGACTGCCAATCTGCCAATCACTGATGACCTTTCAACTTACTAGTCACACCCTAACAACCACTCACTGCACCCTAGCAACTGTCCTATAGACTTCTATTGTAAAAACTGCCATTAGCTGCGTCCCAAATGACACACTATACACTATGCACTCATGCACTATGCACTTACACACTCAACAGAATAGTATATGTATGTAGTGTTGTCCCAAATGGCACACTAATGTTTTTAACGAAGCGGAAATTCAAACCGTTTCCCTGATGACGTTTGACGGTCGCCAAATCAGTGAAATAAACAACCAAATTATCAAATATTACGTGCCGTGAGTATTGCCACATTCACCATCGGGAGGCGCTATAATCACTCTCGTAGTAGAATTTTGCTTTCACCATCCAAAATAAATAAAGTTATCCAACATGTGCGTCCAATAGCTCCGCCCCTTCCGCTACGTAAGCAAACCTGCGGTCGTTGAGTGCGTGAAGTGTCCATCATTCCACACTTCATTTTAGCAGCTGAATGAGTGCATCATCCGGGTAATTAAAGTGCACTTATTATTTTTAGAGTTTTCAGTGTGAACACACTACTTAGGCTGCATCCGAAACCGCCTACTACTCAGTAGGTACTGTATTTGAATGTAAACGTACTACTCGGCCGTTAGAAAAGTACGTTCTATACAGTATGAATTTGAAAAGTATGAATGGAATTCGGACGTACTACATTCGCCATTTTGTCATGGTCACGTGACCTACCTGCGTCAGTTGCGTCGCATCACTTCCATTCATGAATTCTCTCACGGGGCATTATGGGATAGCGCAGCGTGCATGGGATGCGCACTTCAAAATCTTGCCGGAAGTAGTAAGTCATCCGTGTACTTCTCGCCTACTGATTTTCGAATTCTATGAATTCGGACATACTACTCGACTCGCATACTGATTTCAGCATACTATATAGTATGGAAGTATGCGGTTTCGGACGCAGCCTTACACTATTTATACTACAAAATGGCGTAGAATAGTGCATAAGTATGCGATTTGGGATGCAGCTATTGACTTTACATTGGACAGACTAATGATATACAAATCCATACTAGAAACATAATAGCAACATGCTAATCCATACACACTCATAACTATGGACAATTTAGCCTGCCCAATTTACCTATAGCACATGTTTTTGGACTGTGGGGGAAACCGGAGCACCCGGAGCAAACCCACACAAACACGGGGAGAACATGCAAACTCCACACCGAAATGCCAACTGACCCAGCCAAGGCTCAAACCAGCGACCTTCTTGCTGTGAGGCAAATGTGCTACCCACTGCGCCACCGTGCAGCCATAAACAGATTATCAACATGCTAATTCATACTATAAACATACTAGCAGCATGCTAATTTATACTATATAAACATCCTAGCAAAATTCTAATTCATACTAAAGGCATGCTAACAACATGCTAATTTATACTAGAACCATGGTTATTATGTTAACAACTGCCTAGAAACCACTCAGAACACCTTAGCAACCACATAGCAACCACTTAGAACACCTTAGCAACATCTTAGTAACCACCTAGAACACCATAGCAACCATCAACTGCCTAGCAATGCCTATTGCTTTATTGCTTCTTGCTAAATAGAATATGTGAATATTCATACAAACCTACTGTTTCCGGTTCAGCGAGGCAACAATCTGTCCCAACATTACACTAAAAAATACTCTATATTAGGGGCGATTTTTGGATACAGCATAGACGTTCAATTAACGTTTTTTTAATTTTTTTTTATTTGACTTGTTCCGCATTTTAGCATTGCTGTGTAGTAAAAGTAGCCGATTGTCACAAAAAAAAACAGACTAATCAATGTTAGCCAATGGTGTCGTAATATGTTTTGACGAATAACATTACCATCCAATCACTTTCCATATTGAGCAGTTTGAATTTAGAGAAGCTGCGTCACCTGACGTCGCGCGTGGAGATATGAAGACGGATTCAAAAGACATATACCATAGTTCTAGCGAGATTAAAACACGAATGGACATTAAAAGGTATGTTGAAAGACAAATATAACTTTATGGGTCTCATTTAATTGCCGAATCAGTGTTTAAACCCCGAAAAGATGTAATTGACATCTTGTGAACGGCATGTTATGTAACGTCATTTAGCCATTCAGTATCCACAACTCATTAGTAGCTACGCACGACAATTAACGTTATATGAAAAAATAGCATTTCTGCAGAGTTTTTACACTGTATTACATTATATATAATAAGTTAATGATACTTAGGTTTTCAAAACCAAAAAATATTGTATAATCTCATAATATCAAGTCAGTCTGCTTCCTGAAGGCACGCTTAGATGTTATTCACAGAAAGTTCTCTTTAATTTCATTCATATTTGATTATACATTAAAATATGTCATATCAAAATGTCTTATTGTGCGTCCTATTACTTTCGTATTTGACAAAATCAGACCAGATTTGAATATGTGCCTATATTCAAATCGCATAAATGGTTACAATGGAAATTTAGATCTGTTTCCATAATGATATCCTATTACACAACTTGTATGGGTTTCTGTTTTGTTACTTTTGAAACTTGACCTCCATTTCAATTAAAGAAAGCACTTTGATCTTCTGACCATCATTGCTCTCTTTGCTAATCATCCATCATTTGTGTAAGAACATCATAAACAACTCATTAGTTGCTAATGTTACGCACAACAAATCTATGAAAAATTAGCATTTCTTTAGAGTATTTACACTATATTACATTATATATCATAAGATAATAATGCTGAGGATTTCAAAATCTAAAAATAATTCAAGTAGTCTACTTCCTGAAGGCGCGCTGAGATGGTATTCACTGAAAGTTCTCTTGATTTTCATTCATATTTGATTATACACTCAAATATGTCACCTCAAAATCTGTTTCCATAATGATATCCTATTACACAACTTGTATGTGTTTCTTTTTTGTTACTTTTGGAGCTTGACGACCTCCATTTCAATTAAAGAAAGCACATTGAACTCCTGACCATCGTTGCTCTCTTTGCTAATCATCCATCATTTGTGTAAGAACATCATATATCGCTCTAGGCCTCAAATTATAATGCGTTTTATTATGTTTAGCCGCATTGTTCCACTGGTGTACAGTGCAAACACAGTGCTTAGCATCACCTTTTGTGTTTGATGAATGAAAGTCATACATTTTGGAATGACATTTGTGTAAATAATGACAAAATTTTCATATTATGCTGAATTATTCATTTTTTTAAATGGTAAATAAAAACAGGAGTGTATGTTCATATTGTATGAAACCACTACCTCGTGTATAAACTATATTTGTTTAATCAAATATGAACTAACATGAGGTGAACTAAAAAAAAAAGCTTCAGATAAAGGAAGTGGTCACTTGTTGGTTTTGATTGTGCTGATTGTGTTTCTGTTTTATTGCACTTTCCCTGCTGAGGCGTATGATTATGTGGTAATCATGATAATACAGTCAGGATCTTTATTCTTAAGAATGCGGCTAGTATGATGAACTCTGGCATTACTTTCTGAGGAAAGATAAGCCACTGCGTCACATTTAAGCTGGTGTTTGCATAAGGAGGGTTAGTGAAACTTTGATACCCTCTCATCACATAATGAAAGGCTGAAGAGCTTCGCTATCTGTTTATTGCTCAAATAACTCTGACTACCAAATTCAGAGTTTGAACCCCAGCCAAGTTATTAACTACAATAAAGTGAATAATGATTTTGAAGAATGATTCATTTCAAACATAAATTCGGCTACCTCTGAGGTTTGTCCTGGTTGTTCATCAGCATGGGTTGGTGGCCATGTTAGATCCAGTTTTCCTGTGGATTGATTCCGAACTATAAAACAGCAGACAGAGGTTTTGGTGAATGTACTGTATGTGAGACATTAATAAATTGGACGTTTATGGAAATACTTACACAAAAATCCTTGAATTAAATGCTATAGATAATACAAATGTTAAACACAACACTTAGGCCTGTCACAATAATCAATATGTCGAATTATCGTGCAACATTTGGAGATAAATCAATAATTTTGCCATTGCGATATATACTTACAAATTCACAAATAATGTTAAAGCCATTTTACAATGATATTTACGTTCTACCTTACTGATGTCAAAGTTCATAATTGGACGAATACCTAATAGGACGATTATTAGTATATAGAATAGGACATTTACCTTTTTAATATCAAATTCTAGAATTTAAATAATCCTAAGTATGCTAAGTATTTTCATTAATATACTTTTATATAATCAAGGGCATAACATTATTTAAAAATGACAATAATATCGAAGGGCAGCACGGTGGCGCAGTATGTAGCACAATCGCCTCACAGCAAAAAGGTCACAGGTTTGAGCCCCGGCTGGATCAGTTGGCATTTCAGTGTGTTCGCATGGGTTTCCTCCGGGTGGTCATTTTTCCCCCTTAAGTCCAAAGACATGCGGTACAGGTGAATAAGCTAAATTGGCCATAGTCAAAATTGACTAGAATACACAAAACATGTCACTTGTATACTTTTGAATGGGGAAAAGTGTAACAGTCAATAGGGTGAATAAAGCCCTGCCTACTAGTACAGGAGCCAATCATTGATCGCTAATGGTGAATAAAACCCGCCTTCTAGTACAGGAACCAATCAGATAGTTATATAATGACAACTGTCCGGGGGAGGGGCTCAGACCAGACGTGAGTTTCTGCAGATTTTTTAATACGAACATTAGAAATGAAACTTAATAGACAGTTGTTGTCAATTATATCGGTTACTTGTAATGTGAAATTCAATCGTAAGCTTGGCAAGTAGTTTGGGAGAATTTGATGTTTCCCCATTCAAACAGAATGGCCGAGAGGTGTTTCAAAGATGGCCGCCGAGTGAAATGACTTTGTCTCAGTGTATGTGAGTGTGTGCAAGAGTGTGTGGGTGTTTCACAGTGTTGGGTTGCGGCTAGAAGGGCATCCGCTTAGTCTCTTCATTAATCAGGGGTTGCCTCAGCAGAGTGAACCACCAACTTATCCAGCATATGTTTTACACAATGGATGCCCTTCCAGCCGCAACCTAGTACTGGCAAACATCCATACACACTCATTTACACACATGTACTATGACCAATTTGTTTATGAGTAATTCCAGCGTAATTCACAGAGAAAGTTATAATGTTATAACTGTTTATTTTTTTTTTAAAACAACTAAACACAGAGTTAGAGGAGAAGAAGAATATCAATTTGTAAATGTGTTTTATATTTTAAATGAGGGAAATAAACATGCATAATGGATGTGACAAAGTCTGCAAGTTTACAGTATTGAAAACACTTTGTAGAAATTCTGTGAACTAAACTGCACAACCTAAGAGAAATAACGCTAATCAAAAGGACAAAAGTTGGTCCTATATAAAACAAAAACAATTGATTTTATGTATTTGACATTTTTTGTATTTATGAGGAAAAGCTTCATTGTAGATGTGACATCTCTCCATTATGTATGTGACAGATGTGAAATTGCCTCGTGTGATTTTGGTTAATCAAATATAATAGTTTGAAAACATTAGCAGAGACATTTTTCTGTGAAATACTTGCTTACACAAGAAAAAAAAAAACAAAGAAAAAAAACGCAAAAACAGTTATCTTATTTTTTTGGCAAGGTTGACATTTGCATGGAATTGCTCTTATATAATTCACCTGTACCTGCATGTCTTTGGACTGTGGAGAAACCGGATGTCCGAACGGGGAACCCACGCCAACCCGGAGAGAACATATTTTTATATTTATTTAAAGCTAATTCCTTTGCAAGTAACTAAATATATTCATTTTCTTGTCAGCTTAGTCCCTTTATTAATCCGGGGTCGCCACAGCGCAATAAACCGCCAACTTATCCAGCACATTTTTACGCAGCGTATGCCCTTCCATCCGCAACCCATTTCTGGGAAACATCCACCCACCCACCCACACACACACACACACACACACACACACACACACACACACACACACACACACACACACACACACACACACACACATACACACACATACACTACAGACAACTTTAGCCTACTCAATTCACCTGTACCATATGTCTTTGGACTGTGGGGGGAACCGGAGCACCCGAAAGAAATCCACGCGAGGGGGAACATGCAAACTCCAGTCCACACAGAAACGCAGAGGCTCGAACCAGTGATCCAGCGACCTTCTTGCTGTGAGGCGACAGAACTACCAACTGCGTCACCTAACTAAATATATTTATTTTAAAATGTTTGAATGCAAAAAGTTTTGACACCAGCAATATTAACTTCCAGCTAATAGCAATATATGTTCTACTGTTACCACAGTTTCTTACTAAACCTACTTACTAATATACTAAACTTACTAAATATACTTACTAAAGTTATTGTTATCACACTAAAAGATATCTGCAGCGTCACCATCGGCAGAAATACTAATAATTTTCTTTTTGGTATTAAGGAGATATTAATTTCTGAATAATAGTATAGAGGACTTTGAGTAAGGGTGGCACAGTGGTAAGCGCTGTCACCTCAACGCAAGAAGGTTGCTGGTTCGAGCTGGATCAGTTGGCATTTCTGTGTGGAGATTGCATGTTTCCTCAGGGTGCTCCGGTTTCCTCCACAAGTCCAAAGACATGGGGTACAGGTGAATTGGTTAAGTTAAAATTGCCTGTGAATGAGAGTGTATAGGTGTTTCCCAGTGACGGGTTGCAGCTGAAAGGTCATCCGCTGCATAAAACAAATGTTGGATAAGTTAGCAGATCATTCCGCTGTGGTGAGCCCTGATTAATAAAGGGACTAAGCCGAAAAGAAAAAGAATTAATGAATGACTAAGTAAATGAGTTGTTTTTGTTCATATTTATTAAAAAATCTATAGAATTGATTAGAAAAGGAATTTCACTGTACAAAAACCATCGTGCATTTTAGCTTATGTGAAATTTATAGCATTTATAACATTTTAATGCTTGTATGCTGTAGTTCAAAAGGGCACATTCTCTATCACTTTTCCATACTAAAGTACACTTATTCAAACTTTGCTCATTTCAGCACATTGACCAGTACCAGAGATTTCATTATATGGTTAAAGTTAGTGCTGGTGATGTAATCACATATTAGCATTTTGGCTGCTTGTTTGCTTGCTGCCATGGCGAAGCACAAACTACTACCTTTAAGTCAAATTATATTTAAATAACTGATCATGCAGCTCCACATAAAAGTTTCAGCTGTCTCACTGTTAGCTAAAGTGTGCACATTCAGAAATCTGAGGCTCAACAGTATTGTGTGGTGTTGTTGGCAACTCCAAGGCAACAGGGTTCAAATCCCAAGGAACGCACCACTGATAAAATGCATATTGTGAATGCATGAATGCAAATGTGAGGCCTACAAGTGTTATACAGGATTTGTTAGATGGGTCATATGCTCTCACGACCTCGGATAATATTTGATACAGTAGTGTTAGCAATGCAGAAGTCATGAGGTAGACATATGGAGATGTTCAATATATTGTGTTAATGAAGATATTGATATTATGGGCACTTCATAATACGATGAATAATTATTTATTATTGAAACTAAGAGTTCTTTGTAAGAATATTTACATTGTATTTCTATTTGCAGTGGTGTTAAGAACAGTTAATTTTGTCTAGTTTAACGTAATTGAAATGTTAGTCTGGCCTAGCTTATGTGATGTTAATATCCTGGTTAACGCTTATTTATGTGTTAAAATAGTTGTCGTATAAGTTAAAATCATGTATATGAATCTTTATAATCTTTTTGAAATTCAATTAGTTTGAAATAATGTTTTTTGTGGTATTATTACAGTTAAAGTAACTTTTTTTGGCAGCTTATTGAATATTGTGATAATACTTTATTGTGATTTATAGAAGCTTCCGCAATTAATTGCAACTAGAAAGTTTGATACAATCATAATTCTACTCTGAGGCAATGTATTAACTACTAAATGTATGTTTAATTCTGTGAAAACTCAATGTATGCTATGCCCAATTTATTCTGTGTCACTTTAAATAGAAGAACGTCTTTCTGTTTCTCAAAGCTGCTTGTGTAAACCAAACATTCACATGCTACTTTAAATTACTCACCTGACACATCCATTTGGTGGCCTGAGGGAGTCAATTTTGACTGTGGAGGAGGAGGAGGACTAAGAGTCGCTTTGCTAGAGGATCCTGTTTCCACTTTTACTCTACTTTCAGTCTTTGAATCCATTCGCGTTCTCCTGGCTTCCTCTGGATCCTCGGTTGCTCCCCCATAAAGACTGCTTCTTTGTTTCTGTAGTTCTCTTTCTCTCTCCTTGGCCTCTTTAATATCTAGCTCTACCTGAGAATGCAGATTTACAGAAGTGCGGAGTTTGAAGAATGGGTTCTCTGTCGCTATGCCTTCGCCTTCAGTCACTTGTGTATTTGTGCTTTGTCTTGCACTAACAGGCTCTGCAGACGAAGCCCTCACTCCTGCTGAATTCATCACTTTCACAGATCTGCCATCTGTCCATGATGCAGAATTATAACCAGTTGGTTCTCCCGCGGTTGTGGGGAAAGAGCTGGCCTCTATGATGATTATCTGTCCCTTGATTCCCTCGGTCAGACCAGGTCCTCTAGCAGCAAGTGAGTTGCCGTTGGAGCCTTCATACTGGGATACTGGTATTGTAGGAGGATTTTGAGAGAACTGCATTAGGCGTTGTCTAACATTGACCGCAGAATCAACCTCCAGGATTCCAGCTGCAGATTCTACATAGCTAGAGGCAGATCCTCTTCTCAATGCTGCCATTGATTCCTTTTGCTCTTGGAAAGATTCAAAGAGCAGCTTTTTTTCTTGAAGCTGTACCTCCTTTCCCTTGTCGTAGAAACCTGGTAGTCGGCCCAGTTCAACCAGAACCTTCTCCCTCTCTGTCTCGGCACTGATTTCCTTCTGCATCTTCTTTCCTGCAAACTGCCGGTCCTTGTCGAGAGTTTGGCTGGGTCTTATCTGGAGGTCCTGGGATAGAATAGGTTTCCTCAAAGGAATTTCCACAAACTCATTGGTCATGTCAGTTGTATCGCACAGTCCTCTGGATCGTCGAAGACTCTGCTCTCTCTTCAACGCTAAACGGATCTCCCTGTCAATGGGAGTTTCATAAGGAGGAGATTCGGAGGGCTGAGGAGCTTCATCTGTTGTGCTGTTCGGGGAGAAATCTGCTGATACGCCGCTATCGCTTTGGCTGTCATCAAAATGGTCCACCTGCATTCTCTTGGCTTTCCCTTCTCCCTGATGAGGCTTTGTGTTTGACTGGCTCTCCGCACTCTGTCCTTTGTTTTCCCGTTCCTGCCTTTGATCCTTAACCTCCAGCAGCTGCTTTCCTCCGGTTCCACCTGTCTGTGTTTGCTTTCGCTCTTCACCTGTTTCACTCGCCTCTCTCTCTTGACTTTCACTGTCCCTCCTCCTCTCTGGGATTATCAATGGCTCTTTTACTTCCATGGAGACACAGCCTGAGTTCTCTTGCTCTCGATTGGTTGGCCGGTCTGGAAATGTCTCTAGGGGTGGAGCTTCATCACACACCTGTTGCATCACCTCATTCTCAGTCAAACAATATGAGTTGTTTGCCTCAAGCTCCCTCTGCTGGACATTTTCAGCAGTAACCCCAGATTCAGTTTTGGATTCACTTTGGGCTCTTGAGGAAGATTCTGTCTCAGTGATTGAAGAGCTCTTGGAATACGGCACATTTTGTACCTCATCACGACTGTCCCGCCTCACCCACTGCTCTCTGGTGGTGGCAAAGTCCACAGACTTGCAGTCTATATTCAGCTCCTCACTGTTTTCTGATAGGAACACAATTGAGTCAGAGTCACCATGTGACTCAAGCTCTTGTCTCTCTTCTTCACTGGTCACCTTTGGGATTTTTGGTGAGTCAGTGCTTTTGTCTACCTGTGTCGTCATAACAGGTTCTCCACCCTGAATGTCTTTCATGGCTGTTTTAACAGCTTCACTAGCTTCAGAGTTTTTCTTCACATCATCCTGAATCTCAGTGGCCTGGCACTCATTCTCTTCTGCTTGAATATCTTCTTCCAGTCCTGGCACTGGTGGCCACTCTTGAGCCTGGTCATCATTTGTGCTCACAGTTTCCATTGTTGGTTCAGTGGCTCCACCTTCTGGTAAGGAGGTGGCATGATCATGTGGTTCAAGGGTGAATTGGTTTTCCGGTGTTTCTGTTTTTTCTAACCCACTAATAACTTCTGTGTCCTCCTCCTTATTCTTGTCCTGGGGTTCTTTCTTTTCATCTGTGTGATCTTCTGTTATTGTAGTTTCTGTATCTTCAGTAAAGCAGAGCTTTCCTGCTGCACTACTGCGTTCACCTTGGGATTCAGAATTCTGAGTACAGGTCACAGAGTCTGTTTCCATGTTGCACTAGATCTGTATGAAATAAATGGCAAAATATGTTATTTTATAGAAGAACCTTTGTTTGACTGAATTGGTAATCAATAAAGTTGGATTTTTCCTTCCTAGGCATCCCTTACCACTCATCTCATCCTGTTCTTCACATTTATGACATAAACGAGACAGATGAAGGCCTTTCCATTCCACAGGCAATGCTTACAGTTTTCTGCTGATTTAGGAAACTATAATCAGCTTATGTTTCAATCCCTGTAGCGCAGGAGGGCTCAAATTAAATTGTGTTATGATGCGATAGCATGGGATCCTTTTACTGTTGCAGTTTGTTACTTTTGGGTTCTTGCTTCACAATTCTTTGACCTCTGTTTTTTAATGAACTTCGTTAGGTCATTTTTTCTTTAACACCAATGCCTTCTAGTCAGATTTCCATTATTTTCCATTAAACTAACCTTGAAATAGGGCACCTGAAATATTTGTTCATAATTTTTAATGCTATTTTATTTCCTTTCTTTGTATCTGCCTGCAGATAATGCATAATTTTACATCATCTATACTGTAGTCTCATTGTCCTGCATATTGATCCTTACTGATATTGCAATATGCATAACTGAGTAGCTTAATTACTTAGAGAATGCTTGCTGGAATGATTATTGCTAGAAAAACATTAAACCGTGGACCCACTTGGAGTGGAACTATTTCACCTTCACACTCAATGAAATATCCCTCTATTCTTTAAAAAGTAAAAATGTAACCTGGATTTCTGAGAATCATGTTTGCTTGCATACAAAATCAGATCCCCACGATAATCACATAGTTATTTTTATGTCAACACTGAGCAAGTAATTCAGTCTAATATTTGCACTGTGTATTGCATTGTCCACTGGACTTAAAACAAACACAAGGACTTGAAGGTGTGTCACAGTATAATGCTAATTACATAAGCAGCAGATTAATAACGTTTAATCAGATTATACTGTGGAACAGAGTGACAAAACAACATGGAAATTCTGATTCAGGAATAATACAACAATAACACTGAGGTGTCCTTGTGGTACTCAGTGTCCTCAAGAATTAGAAACAATACAGAGTTGCACAAAATATATAATCAAGGGTCATGACTGAATTGAAAACAAACATAAAATATAACACAATAGATACACATCTAAACAAAACCTGGTCGAACAATTGCTATCTATACTGAACCCCAGTGTTGTTACATAGAAAAATAAGGAATTTTTAATTTAATTTTTATTTAAATTACTTTCTAATTATTAGGTGTGAAAAGTAGCTTAATTACTCAATAATGATTTTTTTTACCATATATCTATTGACTAAATACAACTTAAAATCCTTATAAATCTGAAAGTATGCAGAATATAATTGAAACTTTAGCTTTATTAGAATTCTTTTAGTTTTATTTATCACTTAAAAGTAATAATGACACCATATTTCATACAAACCCTGTGTGATATATCAACATTAATCTCCTGCAAATTTATAAATTGTGTTGTAGGCAAGAATATTTTAAGTAACTAATTAAGTTAGCTAAAAATGAAACACTCCCTTATGTATCGAATTTCGAATCGAATTACTGTCACTAGTTACTTTGTAACTTATTATTACACCCAACACTGCTGAACACTACCTAAATCCACAAATCACATACACAAGACTCAAACAATGCATAATATAGCTTTCATTAAATATTCATAAGTTCATTTCTTGCATTTGATATGCTAACTCTTTGTAAATAACAACACAGATGTTACATTTAAGTAATCCTGCAATTTACAAGTCTGTCTTTTCATAAAGTAATAATTCCTGACATTGTCATGTAAAATTACAAAGAGCTATTTAGACTTCATAGCCCATTCTTACACATAAAAACAACATAAATGTAGACAAAAGGCCTACCAGCTGATGAGATATAAGAAATGACAGACAGATGGAGGTCAGCTGAAAGACACAAAAAATTGAAATCGCCCACCTGTTACACCAAGAAGCTTTGTGAATTGTGTCTCTCTTGCTTTCCTTTTCTTTCTTTCCCAGGTTTCCTTCTCTCTTCAACTCTCTCACACTCTCTCTCTCCACCCCCTGCTTAGTAATGAAGGTTAAAATCTGCGCAGATCTTTTCACGGGCCTTGCATCACTAATCCAAACAGCTCTGAAAGCTCAGAGTCAGAGTTTGAACAGTGAAAGCCGGGGATCTCTTTCCGTATAGAACTTTTATAAACAATCTAGTTTTACTGTATTTATTGCCGTCAGATGGTTTATAAAGATAGATTTTAATTTCTATTTGCAAAAATGATCATTAGTGTTATGCGTCAACATAAAAGGAAAATCAATGGTAGCATATTTAGTGATAAATGACTGCTTTTATTTAACTTATTAATAATTGTTCACTGTGATTTTTAGGCCCAATCCCAATTCTACCCCTTAGCCCTTCTCGTTACCTCTCATTTTGCGTGTTCATGTGAAGGAGTAGAGGTGTCCCAATTCTCTTAAGCTTGAAGGCAAAGGGCTGAGCTTCCAGCCTCCACCGCTGAGACTGCAGCTCTGCACAAGACTTTTGGCCTGAGAAAAAATTAAAATGGTCGTGCCGAACTGTCTGGTTCTCTCCAGGTTTTTTTTCTTCACTCTCCTATTGGTGAAGTTTTTTTCCCTCTCCGCTGTCGCCATTGGCTTGCATGGTTCAGGATCTGCAAAGCTACGCGTCGATGAATTTGCTCTTCAATGTTTGGACTCTCTGTAATGATTTCAAACTACACTGAACTGAGCCAAACTCAACTGAACTTAAACACTAAAAACTGAACTACCCTGATCCAGTTACTATGACCATTCATGTGAAGCTGGTTTGACACAATCTACATTGTAAAAGCGCTATACAAATAAAGCTGAATTGAATTGAATAAGTGGAAGTGCTAGATAGCCCTCGAAACAGTGATTTTTCAGGACCACACTCGAAACCAAGAGGTAAAAAAATTTCTCAGACCACACCATCTACAACGGCAGCATGGCTGCACACGGAAGTAAGGAGATGCACAAATTTAGTATTTTTTGTCATTATTGTGAAGTTTTACAACAAACAAGCACATGTTTAAATACATTTATAATGGCATTCATGATTTACTGTTCATGTAAAAAAAAACAGTACAGTTATGATCTTATTGCCACATTCTATCTTTATCATAACATGATACCGTTCATGTTATAATAGTGAAATCTCCCTTTTATTGACAAAATCATTGAAAAAGTTTTTTTTAACCAGGTTAACAAGTTCTTCAAGGGGTGTTTAGACAATTTTCAATCTGGTTTCAGAGCACATCACAGTACAGAGAGCGCCCTTATAAAGATAATCAATAGCCCCTTTCACACATACAGACCTTTCCGGCAATTTTCCGGAAAGGTTGTATGTGTGAACAGGTCCTTTTTGAAAATACCGGTAAATTCGTTCTGGCTATTTTCCGGAAAGAGAAGTTGTAACATTACCGGCAATTTGCCGGAATGCTGCGCTGTGTGAATGCAGAAGGAAGATTGGCGTAATAAGCGAGTGCATGTCTAGAACGTGCTGACGTGAGACGTCTGCTTTAGCCAATCACAACAGTCAGCCGCATTTACGTCCGCGTGGTTTGTGAGAATAAAAGCCTTTGAATATTTTTCCAGACACATTTAGCTGCTAGAAGTTAGTCAGATCACGTTTATATGTTCTTCTTAATGCCAACTGTGTAAATAATCATCGATGAGATGCTTATGATAAGCCGTTGTTTGTTTACCTTCAAGCTTTGCGTGTGTCTGTGAAACAGCCTGTGAGCGCCTGCACACGCACATAATATGAACATCTCGACATGCGAAAGTGATCCTGCGAAAGTTGTTCACAATATTGATCATCCACAGAGTTTGTGATGTAGTCAAATGTTTACAAACACAAGCGCAGCCGTTTAAAGCTCACTTGTGGTGAATGATGTCAGAATTTACCGGTATTTTGGAATGGATGTGTGAATGCTCTTTTCCGGGAAATTTCCGTAACGTCCTCGCCTGTGTGAACAGCGCTTTTTTGAATATACCGGTACAGTCGTTCCGGAAATTTTCCAGATATTTACCGGTATCACTGTGTGAAAGGGGCTAATGATGGTACTGGTGCTGGTACTGCTCGATCTCAGTGCTGCATTTGACACTGTCGATCACAGCCTACTTCTGGATAGGCTGGAAAACTGGGTTGGGCTGTCTGGCACAGTCCTCAAAAGGTTTAGATACCTTGAAGGTGGAGGTTACCATGTCACTATAGGTGACCATAGGTTGAGATGGACACTCATGAAATGTGGAGTCCCACAAGGCTCGATCCTGGCACCTCTTCTGTTCAACCCTTATATGCTTCCTCTGAGCCAAATAATGAGAAAGAGCCAAATCTCCTACCACAGCTATGCTGACGACACTCAGATCTACCTAGCCTTATTGCCTAATGACTACAGCCCCATTGACACCCTTTGCCAATGCATTGATGAAATCAACAATTGGATGTGCCAAAACTTCCAAAAATAATAGTCTGTGATATTTAATGCAGTAAGCCATGCTGATAAATTGGAAATGTGTTGAATATAAACATGCAAAAAGTGAAACTCAGCAGTGCAGTGTAGAATATACTGTATTCTTTTTCATTTGTTTTGATGAAAGAGTGCTTGCTGTTGTTTTTGTTTGGTTTTTTAAAGGCATTTCTGTTTGATTCTCTTTTATTCATAATTTAGATACATAAAAGAATGCTGTTTTATGACAGTAGGCTTATTTTCTCTTTTTATGCATACTTTTTTCATGGTCTCGAGTAAGAAGAATAGACAGCCTTTGATTAAATTTCATCAGATTAGTTTAATAATCCTGTAACTTTCCCATTGTAAACATTCTATACAAAATCCTCACTGCTTGTGCTCATTCAGCACTTTATTTCTTCTGTACAGGAGCTCAGTTAAGGCACTGAGAATTTGCATCAAACTGTTTATGCTGAATAAAACAATTGTTCCTGAAAACTTTGAATAATATTGATTACATATGGATACGGTGGTTGCTATCACACAGTTTAAATGATTATTAACAAAGCAGTGTGTATAGAAATGTCAGTAGGAGAATTAAAGGGGTAGTTCACCCATAAATGTCAATTTAATCATCCTTGAATTGTTTCAAACTTAAGAAATTTTGAAAACCTGTAACCATTGACTTCCATATTATTTGTTTTTAATAATATTTAAGTCAATGGTTACCAGTATCGTAATGTTTTTTTTTGTGTTGAGTAAATAATGGCATCCTTTTTTATTTTTGGGTGAACCAACCCAGGCTCATTCTGAAAACGTACCCCTATTTACATTTCTGGAGAGTGCCAAATATGTCTCTGGAGATAAGTTTTTTTTTTTAGCCGTTTTTATTTTCGCGAATCCGCCGAGGCCTTTGTGTATGCTTTTTGTGATGTCAAATTCCTCTCACGAGTGCCATTCACACCTGCTCTTTTCGCGTACATGCACCAGAGGCTGCTGTCGACTGACTGACCGATCGACTGACCCACCCTCCTCCTTCCCTAAACTAAGTGTTTTCTAAGCACAGATTGACCCGACAACCCAATTCCCTAAACCCAACCCACAGTTTTCCAGAAAAAGAAAATAGAAAAGCCCTTGCAGCACCCTGATTTTTAGCACGTTTTCAGATTCTACCACATTCTCACCCTGTTATTTACTTGTTTATTATATTTTTTGGCTTCTGTTTTTTTCTTTCCTGCTTTCAGGAACCGTTCTTCGCCGGACTTGAACCCCGACTTCTTGGTCAGCTCCTCTCTGCGTCTCAAGTCCACTGATGTACATGGTGAGCTACTGGGAAACCTGGTAACAGCGGGAAAGACGTCTAGATGGAGGTAAGCGGTCAGCTGCTAGTCTAAAAATGAACAGCGTCATAATGCCCTGTAGTGTTCGTTTTAAAGACTAAACGCAGCCATATGTACTTCCAGCTACATAATCCGTGGTCTCCAGAAATGTATATGGGGCTTCATTTTTAGAATGAGCCTATATGTTGCAATGTTGTCAGTGTCATAAACAGGAATAGTTCACCCTAGAATTCTAATTGTCATCATTTAAGTGGTTCCAAACCTTTCAATTTTTTGTTTTAAAGAGATGTTTTGTAAACCGGAAGCAATAGTAGAAGTTAATGGCTATTGGTTTCCAGCATTCTGCAAATATCTTCTTTTGTGTTCAATGTAAGAAAAAAAAAAAAAAAAAAAAAACTAGGGATGCACTGATACCATTTTTTGGATCCGATCCTGATAGCAAAGTTCATTTGTATCGACTAATACAGATCCGATCCCAATACTGTGCCGTTTTTTTTTTTTTTTTGATGTTTTTTAAAAGCATAATGCAGTTTATATAGTGGTGATCATTTAAAATAATAAATCTTCTTTAGTAAAAATAACAGACATACAGTTGGTCAGAATTATTAGCCCCCTTTTGATTTTTTTCTTCTTTTTTAAATATTTCTTAAATGATTTTTAACAGAGTAAGGAATTTTTTACAGGATGTCTGATAATATTTTTTCTTCTGGAAAAAGTCTTATTTGTTTTACTTTGGCTAGAATAAAAACAGTTAATAATTTAAAAAAAAAACATTTTTGGGACACAATTATTAGCCCCTTTAAGCTAATTTTTTTCGATAGTCTACAGAACAAACCATCATTATACAATAACTTGCCTAATTACCCTAACATACCTAGTTCACCTAATTAACCTAGTTAAGCCTTTAAATGTCACTTTAAGCTGCATAGAAGTGTCTTGAAAAATATCAAGTAAAATATTATGTTCTGTCATCATGGCAAAGATAAAATAAATCAGTTATTAGAAATGAGTTATTAAAACTATTATGCTTAGAAATGTGTGGAAACAATCTTCCCTCCATTAAACAGAAATTGGGGAAAAAAATAAACAGGGGCACAGATAATTCAGGGGGGCTAATAATTCTGACTTCAACTGTATAAACCCACTGTAATGACAGACGGCACAATCTAACTCAAAACATGAAGCTTGTTGTGAACTAAGCTACATTATTTAAGCAATCATTATGACATTGATCTGTTGTTTCTTTTATTAATATTAAGATTTTTCTTTAAAATCTATAAAAGGTCACCACTATTGACCCTAATGAAAACACAAACTTGTCTGTTAAATAAAATATTAATATAAATAAAATTACAGTGAAATATTTAGTATCAGAATAGCCTATATTAGGCTAAGTTAAATAAAATATTTTCTGTTAATGACAATCCATATTGCGCCCGTCAGTTTCACATTTATTACTAGCTACTTTGACCACAATGAGCCAGGCTTTACAAACTATTCACAGCACTGAACGTATAAAGAATAAACTCAATCAGAAGGATGAGAGAACAGAAACTTTTAATATTAAAGAATAATCTTACGGAATGTGCACATCGCGTCTGCGCAGCCGGTGCATGAATGACGCGTTTGATGCATTACTGAGACACAGCGCGCAGCCCTCTGGTATCTGCTGACACTTTCAAAACAGCAGCACAAGGGGGAGAAATCAGTGCGTTTAGGATCTGTCCAATGTATTATTGAGCCTTTTCTAGTGTAAATTTTCAGGTAGGCCTACTTTGTGTGTGAAGAGCAGGTAAGAACCCTCAGTGTTGCAAATGCAATCTGCTGGTCTAACAGACAAAGAGCAACATGATTTAGAAACCGCAATGATCTCCTTGTTTCAGGTCAGAATGAGACCATTTAATGCAAAACCAAATGCATTTCTCCACTGATTGCTTATAATAACAGGAACAAATTGTCTTGGAGAATTTTTTGGAGTTGTCATAAGTTTAAATTGTGAATGAATGGAGAATGACTGACAGGCGCGGCAGTGGGAAGCGCTGAACTGAACATGAATTTAACCACCTGAAAATTAGTCTGTACTTCACATTAAACTATAGAATGGCTTCAGAGCATTTAAGATATTGTATTTCTAGGCTGCCTTCATGGCTTTTATAAATTGCACAGAATATAGCACACATGCAAGATCGGATTTGGATCGGTACCTGCTGGTCGATCGCCGATCCAGCAAAAATATGCAGTAACGTAACAGATATCCGATCCAAGTATCGGGATCAGTGCATCCCTGAAAAAAACATAAATCTGTGAAACTACTTGATTTTTTTTCTCTTGATTGATTAATTTTTTGTCCTGTTTTTTTAAATCTGTATAGATTTTATTTTTTCATAAGTAGTTTTAAACCCCTTTGCTTTTCATCAAAATATGAAGTTTTTTAAATTTCTAAGTGAACTATGCCTATAAAGTTTAAATACACTTCTGTCAGGCAGTTGGAGGCACTGTAACAGCAATAAAAGCAATCAAAACTCAACTCAATCAGCAATACAAAACAAAAAAAATCAACACTTATAAAATCACAGGCAACCATTCCATCTCTTTGTTTTGATTCATAATCAAGGCACACAAGTGGTTTATAACAGAGTACCCCACAACTATTGTAGGACCTATTAATTACCCCCGTGGGTTGAATCCCACGGCATTTATAAAAACAAAATATTTTGATATGCTAGTGTTAAAACCGTCAAGGCCTCTGTGGGTCGTCAGCCAAACACTCAAGAGTCGCCAAGCATAAAAACAGCATCTTAATCAGACACCAGAGGCTGGGAAATGAAACACATTATCCAACAACAAACACACGTTCCAGTCCTTTCCAGCAAGGCAGTGTGCATCTTCTTATAAATCATATTTCAACACACTAAGGGCAAAGTGAGTCTGGGATGCGTCAGTACATTATAAACACTCTGACGCCGCTTTAAAGTAGCATTGAAACAGCTGAGGATCAGAATGTCTTGATACGAAGTAACAGGCATGAAGCAAACAACCTTCAGCAGATCGTTCACATGATGGAACAGCACTGGCAGGTTTTTCGCTTTGGTCCTCCTGTTTCCTCTGCTCGGTTCGGGAGGCTGGTGTCCAGCTGGGCCGCTGTTTTGGAGATCAGCAGAGGCTCTTGTTCGACCTGCTGTTTTTCGGTTCCTACATTGGACTCATCCAGAGGAACTTCTTGGAACTGGCTGATGGAGATTCGTGTGGAGGCTAGAGCTTCTTCGATTTTTGATTCTGTTGCGTTTATTTCCACTTTTGGTTTGGTTACTGGAGACGGTTGTGTTGTGAAATTCACTGAAACCTGCATAGCCTCTGTATCTACGCTTTGCACTTGTGTATCAGCAGATTCATGCTCCTTTTCGGTTTCACCTTCCTCATTCAAATCAGCAGAGGTATCTAAGGTTATATTTTCGAGTTGCGTATCAATCGATTCCTGCTCCTTTTCACCTTCCACATCCAAAACAATCTCTTCAGCGGACATATCTTCAGCTTTCTCCAGTTCGTCTTCGGTTTCTACTTTTGAAGCCATTGATTCGGTGCTTCCGTCTTGGTTTTTATCACCTGTCAGTTCTTCCTCTGGGATTTCCTCCCCTTCATCAGTGATGATGACTCTTTCTGCTCGGATTATGGCTCCTCCATCATCATCCTCATCTACTCCCTGTCCGGGCTCTGCTTCTTTGAACCCAAGGAAGGTCATGGTTACGCCGGCAGCTCCTATTCCTTCAGAGGGATGACTGGAGAAGCCGTTAACAAAAGAGTTGACTTCCACATTTCCATTAGTAACGGCTGAAGATGTTTCAGTGTCTGTTTCTGTCTTTGCGTCCGTGTGTTCCTCGTGATTCACAGCATGCACAGAATCATCTGCAAACAAAAAAAACCAACAGCGAGAATCAGAAATGAGCCTCAGTTTTGATATTCGTACATGATAGCAATAGGGAAGCTGTCTTTGATTTGGCGAGGCGATGCTTTGATTCTATAACTGATAGAATATTAAAGGCTTGTTCATGAATATTAAAGTATAGAGGAAAGAAAGTAAAGCAGCCAGGGAGATGGGAAGAAAAGAGGTGATGGTTGGAGAACAGCCAGATGTAGATTATAGCCCATTCACACCGAGGATAAAGACAGCAGTCGAGTTCAATCAGCAAACAGGCAAAAGTTTACTGCAAGAAGGAACAAAATTCCATCATTGTTTCCATTTTGGATATTCATTATATTTGGATATAACGGCAATATGCACATACATGTAGAAAAATTCACATAAAGAATGTATGCGCATAACTGAGCAGGATAAACTTTTTATTCGATAAGAAAAATGCGTCTATGATGAAAACAGTTTTACCGAACAAATTCCAGTATGTGCCTTAAAAAAGGTCATGTGATGATAAAAATGTGTGTAGATAGATAAACCAGCAGGCTAACTACATTTTAAAACATCAGAAATGTTGTTTTGGTCATTCTAAAACTCCTTTAACCAATTCAGTCTTTGTGTTATTATATTATTAATGTCCTCCAGAATTGTCAACAGCCCTTGTGCTCTGCATTTCAAACGCCGACTCAAATGGGTGTTGGTGGCGAGGTGATCGTAAGCAAGCGAGTGGGGGGGAAGTGGTATGCATGAGAAAGTGGATTTTTGGCGTGAGAATACTATTGAGAGTTGGCAGACGTGGTTATAGCTCTCGAAAGTCATTTAAGCCACAGAAAGGTTAAAGATCTACTGTCAACAACAGTTTAAAACAAATATAATATAATTGAACAGATGCTTATCTAGTATTGAGAGTTGCTAACTCTCATTGAAAACAATATCATTTTGGGTTTTTCAGATGGCACTCTACCAGCTGTCTAAGAAAAGAGAATATATATGCATAACTGGATGTTTTATACCTTGCTTTTCCTCTTTTCCATTCTCCACAATGGGTCCATTAGGTGTCGTCTCAGCAACTGCTGTGTGATCAGAAACAAAAATGATTGAAAACGCTTTCTATAAAGTCACAATTCACGCCATTTACTACTAACTTATTATCTTATTATTGCAATATTAACTGTTTATTAGGAGCTAAAAGTAGGCCCACATGGAATCTGCATGCAGAGAAATTTGCAGATTTTTAGCCCATCATTGAGTCTATTTATTTACTGTAAATTTATATTTATTCAGTTTTTAAATAAAATTCAGTAATATTAATGAAAAATATGAAAATATGATTTATTTACAATACGATTTGTAAAGAAATATATTCTGTCTTTTAGTGGATCTATTATAGGTGAGACTTGCTTTGTTTACCAAATAAATGCATCTAATTGGATTTGCATTGTAAACATTACAAGTTAAAAAGGTAATATTTTTTTCAATTTATTATATTATGTTTTTAAGTTATGATACTTCCAAAGATCATTCCACATAAATCTGCAGAATTAAAAAAAAAAAAAAAAAAAAAGTAAAAAATGTTCCCAGATTTTGGCTGTAGTTATAAGGTATGATCTTATTCTACACCCCTAAACAAACCTAAACCCAACCACTGCCTTACAATCTATTAACATGCAGCCGATTAGTAGTTTATTGAGCCAATAGTCTTAGTTAATGGTTTAAGAGCAGGAATTGTGACTTAAAATAAAGTATTGGCCAGATTATTTTGATATTATGAATGGTATTGTCTTTTAAAAACCCTATTGTGGTCTATTGGTTCAATTATTCTTTAATTAAGCCTAAGATAGACTTTACCCTCAGGTTGAATTTGTTAATTTTTATTTATTTTTTAAGTTTAAGGTCTGCATATTTTTTTTTTTATGTTTTCAATGTGCTGTAAAACAGTACTACTATTACATTAATACATCAAAACAGCATTACGATTAAGTACTCTTATACAGTAGTTCAAAATGCCTATTTTAAATACGTTTTAAAATGTAACATATAACAGTAAAGCTGATTTTTCAGTATGATCCTTTAGAAAATATTGTAATATAAATATATTTTGATAACACTTTACAATAAGGTTAATGAATGCATTTACAGACAAAAACAAAAACATAACAATACATTTATTACACTATTCATGTTTGAAAATAAACTCATTCATTATTCATTTTTATTAACTCACAGTGCATTAATGTTAACAAGCACAACTTTGGATTTTAATAATGTTTAACTATGATTATTAAATGCCATGCTTCTATTGTTTATTCTAGTTGATCTTAGCAAATACATTCACTATAATTAACTAATATTAAAATGTGACTATTTTATTTTAAATAAAGAATAATTATTTACAATATTTGTAAATAAGTTTGGTGCCTCCAAGCATAAAAATGACAAATATCCAAGTATTATTTTCATATTAAATCCATCATTGTTAATTCCTGTTGGCTGATTACCTAAAGTTTATTTCATAACTTCTTAAATTAAAACAACACTATACTCTAGATCAATACGTATTGCTAACAGTTCATGATAGCTAATGTTATCAAATTGAACCTTACTGCAAACAAGCTAACAAGGATTTAATTCAACATAAAATAACAGCAGTATTCTATTGCATATTAATGAGATGGACAGCAGTGTAAGTGAATCGGACACACAGATGGCGTTCGGCTCAGAGAACACGCACACACTCACCTGTTTCCACACACTCCAGCAGCGGCTCCTCCTATTGGTCAAACAGAGAGAAAAGGTCAACCGTGGTCGTTAAAGAGCACACGTCACACTCTTTAGCTGTTAAAGCGCCTCATTCTGCTGGTTAATATTTCATCCCAGTCATGGATCATTTATGGTGGAACAGCTCAACACTAGAGAAGTTTCCTACTCGACTTCATTACCACGTGCTACAATTTTTCAGCCTTCTCAAGTAATACTGCAGAGTTCCAGTGTGATACATTGACTTTCATCCTGCAATGGTGAAGTGCCCTCGTTTTTGGGGTTTTGTTTTAGAAATTTAGATTCAGTGGACTAGGAATAATAAATGGCAGAAAACTGTCAAACTACTTGCTCTACAAACAATTGTCTTCATGACATTGAAAATAGTTCATGGCATTTATTGACCTTTATTTTTACATATTCATTCACTTCTATTAATTTTATACTGTAATCGCAGCTTGTTATGCTACTTGATGGTGCAAATTGATATTGTATTATTACACTCTTAAAAATAAAGGTACAAAAGCTTTCATCCATAAAAGGTCCACACTGATACCTTAAAGCAATGATCTCGAGCTCAATTCCTGGAGGGCTGCAGATTTAAGGTCCTACCACCTCCAACTCACACCTGCTTAATAGTCTCTAGTAGTCTTGAACACCTTGATTAGTTTGATCAGCGATGTTTGATAGGGGTTGGAGCTAAACTGTTCAGAGCTGCGGCCCTCCAGGAATCCAGTTTGAGACCCATGCCTTAAAGGTACCACAAGGTACACTTTTGTACTCTTTAAGTAATATGTTCCTTGAAGATACAAATGTGGACCTTCAAGGTTCTAGTGTTGTCAGGATACTGGAATTCGGTAATAATCGGTACTGAAATTTTAAAAAGGTCCATTTCCGTTAACATTTAAACTTGTTCTTAAACACCGCTGATTTGCCATTGTGTTCACGTGCTCAACAGAAATGACTGTGATTGGTCGAAGGTCATCAATTCACCAATGTTTACTGAGTGTAACCACAGATACAGGAACAAAGGTGTGCTTTAAAGCCATGATTCATCAGTGGGTTGCTCGTATGTCAGCTCATAGACAAACCAGCTGATCGGTGTGACTTTAAAACACTCAGTGTCCATGTGGTTACACTGAGTAAACAGTGGTGAGTTTGGTGAACTGATGACCTTCACAGCCAATCAGAGTCCTTTCTGTTGAGCAAGTAAACACAATGACAAATCAGCTGTTTTTAAGAATTGTGCTCAATATCGCTCAAATGTTAGTGGAAAAATGGACGTTTTTAAAATTTCAGTATTGAATGTTACCGAATTCCAGTATTGTGACAACCCTGAAAGGTAAGTATATATTTTGAAAATGCACCACCCCAGTGACAGCTTTTGTACCTTTTATTTCAAAAAGTGTAATAAGACAATATCAATTCACACCATCAAGTAGCATAACAAGCTGTTATTAACATCTAACAAACAACAGAAGTGAATAAGTACGTAAAAATAAGGTCAATAAAAGTGTCATAAACTATTTTAAAAGCTACAGCGAGTGTATTAATCCAAATTGTTATAGTTTCTAAAGCATAACACTAAAATGGTCCCATTTCTAATTAGGTGTCTTTATATAGTAGGTTATTAGCTAACATAAATGTACTAACAAGCATTATTAACAGCTAAAAATCAATAGAAGTGAATGAGTACATAAAAAATAAGGTCAATAGAAAAGCCATAAACTATTTTCAAAGCTACAGTGCATTAATCCAGAGTGTTAAAGCTAAAGCATAACATTAAAATTGTCCCATTTCATATTAGGTGTCTTTATAGGATATAAGCCTACATAAATGTTCTTACTGTATAGTGTTTATATTGTAGCCTACATTTCTGTTTCTATTGAGGCATTATGGTAAATGTTACAGTATAGTTGAAGCCACTAAATGTAAAGTAACAAAACATGTGATAATTTATGATTATTAACTGATCTAAAATGTAGCCAAATCTGAGTAGCTACTGTAGTTAACAGGAACCATTTAAAATATCAATGACCTGTAATATGAAACATTTTAATTTGATTGTACAATTTAGCCAAGACATATTTGTGTGATTTTTATATTGTTTTATAACTAAGCATTCCACTATTTTTGTAAATATTATCAGTCATCTAATTCATGTGAAGCTCGTCCATTTGCTCATTAATAACCGCTAATATTTTTCACTCTAATTAGGTAATTAGAGTTTTTTTTTTTATCTTTTATAAGTCTTTTTATAATATCTTTTATTTTCAGTTTAAAAACAAATTGAAGGTTATTGCAAGATTTGACTAACAGACAGAAACATCAGCTTCAGCGGCCACAAGGTGGAGTCAAGCCAACACTGTATTATTCATATTCACTATTCAATGCAGACAGTGTTTAATTAATTAACTCAAAAACTTAACATTCATACTGCTCTTCTGATGAATTTATTTTTCTTCATGATTATAAACCATATTTGAGCTCTCAGAAATATAGAACTTCATTAAAACAAGCGTAATAACAGTTCACTCCTAAATATAGCAAAAAAGGAGGCTATTTTAAGAAGATCACTGGAGGATTTTAAAGCAATATGAATGGGAAGAAGTCAATATCTTACAGGAGTCAAGATTTAGCAGTCGTGCGGTGTATTTTTCAAGTCAAAATAAAGTGTTTGCTTTTGGACTAGATGACCTCCATACAAGGCTGTTTGTTGCGATGGTAATGAGCATAAAATACAACATTCCATTTTTGCTGCTTATAAGTAGTTGATAATGATTTCAGAGATGTTTATTATAGAGTGAACTGCGAATAAAAATGCTGACAAAATGTTTGATGTTGCATTAAAAAAAATAGTAGTTTTGTTCACTATTTATAATAAGAGTCACTCGCAAACCTCCCAGCGAGCACCTTGATGTCAATAAAAAGTCACAAAACATGTCAAAAAATGGTAATTGAGTTGATGTCAATTAGCTACCTTGGTCAAAACGACATAACATTGGTATAAAAAAAACGAGTGAAAAAGGATTACAGGTTTACTTTCCTGTAATACATTTTTGACAGCGGTGTTAGATGTCAGTTTGATGTCATTTTGACCAAAGTGGTTTCCATGCATGTAGGGACATTGTATCCAATGTCAATTTGGAATTCAAGCTTTTAAATAAATAAAATAATTCTTATATTATAATACATTTAGTTTTGTTATTTTGATGGTTAAAAGAGCATCCAAATGTCAAATGGACATCAAGGTTTTGACATCAAATCGATTGTATTTTTCACATGTTTTTGATATCAATGTCATAAAACTACTGTCAAACATCAAACATGTTTGATGTCGTATTTAAAAAATAAAAGTTTTGTTCACCTTATATAATAAGGGTCATTCACAAACTTATTCGTTTTGACATTAAGGTGCCTGATGGATTTGTTATCTTCAAAAGTTCTGGCTCTAAGATTTTCTTTTTAAAGGTTTTTGGTTTTTGAGTCTCTTCTGTTCACCAAGACTGCATTTATTTGATTTAAAATGTAATTAAAACTAATATTGTAAAATGTTCTTTTCAAATGAAGACAAATGTCCTGTTGTTAAATATTGTAAAAAATAATTAACTTCAGTGATAATAAATGTAAGATGTTAGTATAATCACTCCAGTTTTCAATGTCAAATGATTCTTAAGAAAAGCTGATGCATTCTTTCCAGGTTTCTTTAAGGAAAGCATCTGAAAAGTTAAATCATTTGCAACATAATAAATCTCTCTAAAAGAGAAATCTCTCTAAAAGAAAGTCTAAAGACATGCGGTATAGGTAAATTGGGTAAACGAAAACTGGCTATAGTGTATGAGTGTGTTGGTTGTTCATTCCGCTGTGGCGACGCCTGATAAATAAGATGACATGAGCAGACGTGTGTGTTGAGCTGATCATGCAGTCAGTCATTGAATCTCACCTTATGGTGTGTTTGCGCGTCTGTGCCAGATTGAGCAGAAGTGCCGTCTATCAGCTTCTTCAGTTTGACTTCTTCCTCTGCCAAATGCTCAGATGTCGCCTGTAATCTGATGCACAAACATGCATGCCACAATTTATTTTAGGTTGGAAAAACATTTTATTTTTCAGGTGCATGTTCACACTTCTAGTTTGGCTAATTTGGACCCCATCACCCCCACCCCCCTACAACCCCCCCCCCCCCCCCCCCCACCTCCCCCCCAAAAAAACAATAACAACACATTTAGTCCTTATTCACTTTAGTCAACGTTTGGATTGCTTACAGTCATTTGAAATAATCGTGATTACAATTTTGACCAAGACATAATTGAGCAGCTTTACTGCCTCAATTCGTGTTGAGACAACATGAAGGAATTAAGTTAACTTGGTAGTTTTTACAAATTTAAGTGGATTAAACATAAAACTATTAAGTTGTCTAAAAAACGTAAGAATTGTGCTGTTTCAGCTTATTTTAAATAAATAGTTTAAACCGCAAATGTCCTATTTTTGATTGTTTAATTGTATTGTTATTTTTATGCTCATCCTCCTATTCACAGCAAATTAACGTTTAAGGGGGTGTGGCTAAGCATATTTTGCCCCATCCATCAAATTAACAAGATTTTTCAATTTTGAGAAAATATTTCAGTGGATTAGGGATGCAACGATTAATCGATTTCACTGCTTTAATTCGTCATGGTTAATCAATCGTAAAGGCTTCTCAACAGTGTTCCTGCTTGAAAAAAAAATGCTGCAACTAAACAAAGTTACGCCAACTGCTAGTTTCAAGTTCCGAACTTGTACACCGAGGCTTATATGCATGCACACTGGATTAACTGAGGCTATTAAATAAGGGCTGTTCCTGGTAGTTTTTAGCGAGCAAAGTTATCCATTGGAGGCACGCAGCTATCTTTCGTGCGCATGTTGGGAGTGATGGGTATGTGGTGCGACACACTCACCCTTTCCAGGCACACCTAGTTAAAAGAATGCCGCAAACTGTTCAGTTCAAATGACTGATCAGCTTCATACTTTGTATTGAATATACACATTTCTACTCCAAACAGGAAAACAATTACAAAATGAAAAATAGCAAACAATTTTGTAATATAATTGATCAAAATGTTTCTCAGACAGAGGTTTGACAGAGGTCTTGTTATATCATGGCCAATTATACATCGTCTTGGAAGTATTCAATGTTTTCTAAACAAATATAAGAAAATGATTACCCTGATTGCTGAAAATAAAATATTAAGACCTCAAGATCGACTTCTATTTAGTTTTTTGACGCAGCATTGTTTACATTTTTGCATAAAAGCCTTCCTCTTGTTTTTGGTTTTCATTTGATGCAATTTTTTTCATTCAAACTGCAGCAGACATTGTTTGAATGCGAACCAAGACCTGTCTTATGCATTTAACTATACTTAATTATATTATGGTCAATTCTACTTCGTCTTGGAGGTATTTAGTCAAAATTTTATCAACAAATACCAAAAAACGATTACCCTGATTGCTGAAAATTAAATATGAAGACGGACGCCAAGATCTTCTATTATTTATTTTCTTAAAGCTGAATTATTTATTCCTGAAGATTCATCAGCACACGCAATTCTAATCAAACTGTAATAACCTCTTCCATTTGAACAAACTCTCATTCAGTCTGATTGCATTCTGGCCTACGTTTCACAGCCCAATCTAGGGCTGTACTATATTGGAAAAATTTGGCATTGCAATATATATATATATATTTTTTTTTGCTGCAATATACATTGCAAGATAAATATAATTTCAGATGACTTAAATGGCTATTTGGAAAAATTTTATTATTTAGATCGACTGTGATGATCAAGTCTTTTTCAATGCCGTGCATCTGCATAAAATATATTAAATTACAAGCAAAAATAAATACACACAATAGGGATGGGCGATGTTGACCAATTTGGCATCGTAGGATGTCTAATGTGTAACATCGCGATGGACGATGGCATCGTCGTTGCTGGCGGGGGTCGTTGTTAAATATCATTAATTCATAACAAATTAATTAATTATAGTCTACCGTTTTCACTACCTGACCCACATGGTCTATGCAACCCATAACCAAACCATACATAAAGTTACACACTAATTACCACCTGTCAATCACTTTTTTCCGTGGGACTCTGGCATGAATAGGCACAGTGATATGTGTTGTTCTAAATAGCTTTTTCCACCGCTGGTGGAGGAGACGAGGGTTCGTTTGGAGTTCACTGTAATTTGTATTTTCATGTATGATAACTTCCTTTTTTTATTATTATTATGAAGAAATATTAACAAGTAAAGATGCTAGGGCTCGGCCGTTTTGATCGCATATGCGCCCAAAATTTTATCAGTGCGACCTGAAAATATATTTGGAAGCATTTGGGGCGAGTGCATACATTTTCACTGTTTTCACTGCAAAATCCTCACCGCGTGTGCGGATTTAGGAGACATTTATGTAGTAAAAAAGCCCGCAATGCTTGCCCAGCCTTTGTGCACTTCTTATTGGCCCACTGCTCTAGAACTGACCGTGAATGATTGGTTATTATCAGCTGTCAATCACTCAGTCAATGCCTTCTGCCTTTAGAAGACAGGAGCTACAACCGCGAAAATGTGAATCGCTGAAGATGAGAGAATGAAAATAACACTGACAGATTTACCTAAAGTTGCTAATAATGGCACATCTTATTAGTGACCATGTGCTGAATGTTAATTCACCATTAACACTTTTCCAAGAGTGGATAAAAGACTTCCAAGGGCTTCAAGTCCGCTATAAAAATGACTAAAGCCATTCACTGCAAAGTCTGTAGGACGGGGTTTGCAGGCAACAGCGTTTGCCACTGAATCTACACATTTTAAGCATTTTATGTACTGTATAATCCTTCATTTAATCCTCACGATGCTGTCAGCCGTGCAAGCGGCAGCTAAATGTAAAATTTAACACAGATCATGAAAAGACCGTTATTGCTATTAAGTTGACATGCAAATAATAAGTTATATATCAATATAAATGTGGAGCGGGGCAATGGATCGCAATGCCGGCTCAGAATCATGAAGTTTGTCGGCCATTGGCGATGGACGATGGCATCATCTATCGGCCCAACCCTAACACACATTGCGATATCGATGCTCAAACGATATATCGTTCAGCCTTAATCCAATCAATTCCTGCGCCACCATCCTGGTTTACTCAGAAATACATTATGAGTGTTAAAATGAGTCGTGAACGGCTATTAACGCTTGTTTCAGAATCAAACCTAATGTACTTTTAATGTACTTTTTAATGTACTCTTATAAGCAAGCTTCAGATGTAACTAAAAACTGTAGCCTGACTGTGCCTCGGCAGCCTACAATTTCACATCCCAAACAGGCTCCCAGAATATACTGTAGGATTTTCAGGATTTATTACCATCCAAAACCTGCGCTCATTTACCCTCTCGCTATTCTCTCTGGAAATCACGGCGTGCTTTATAGCTATATAAAAGCACATTGTAACAAATACAGGCATTAAACGAACGGGGATAAGAAGCCTCAGACGGCTGTTTACACACCATGAAAGTGTGTTCCCTATAGGCCCGTGAGTGGCTTATTACTGCCAAACTTTGCTCTGACTAATTAAAGCCCTGCTTCGACACAGAAGAACATCTCAGCGGCCGGCTTATTACAATAATCACCATCTCCTTCAGTCAAGCAAATAAATGCTGATGTGCGAAGCAGGAACATCAAACACCCCTCCTCGCTCACGCGCACAGAAATACCAGGATATTTTGGGGGGATAGAAATCATCACCTGCTTGGCGCTCTGCTTATTTGGCAGGAATAATTAGTGGTGTTTGTGGGGAGAAGCATCCTTTTTACTACTGGAGATGTTAGATTGGAGATTTGAACAACCCCCCATATATTAAACTCAGCATAATTATAGTACAAAAACGGATATAACAAAAAAACAAAATCAAACATTGTTTTAAATAGTACAAGCTACAAAAAAGAGGGATATATATATATATATATATATATATATATATATATATATATATATATATATATATATATATATATATATATATATATATATTATTTTATTTTTTATTTTTTTTTGAGTAAAGTGCTTTATGTAATGCTGATTGCATCAACAGGCACATCAAAAGTCAGTACAAAATTAACAATGACAAACAAAAATAAAATACAGAATGTACGTTTGAGGTTTTCCACGGAAAATGAATTCATTAAGCCATAATCTAGTGATCCCAAAGGTCCAAAGAGTGATTAAACATCTAACGTTTTCTTTATTTGTACGTTTTTGAGATTGTACTATAGTTGTATTTTTAGGTTAAAACGGAGATTGCAGTTCACACAGGATTCTAGAGAAAACTAAATAAAATAACATTTTATTTAACAAAATAAAAGCTTTGATAAAAGGTTAATTTTAGGTTAAATAAAGTTTGTTTAACATATATATTTATTTGAACCTAATAAAAAATACTATTTGAATAAATGATCATCATAATAATAAAGAATTGTTTTTGCAATCTCAATATTTTTTTAAACAGTCAGCTGTTGCTCTATGTCCCCGGCAAACCATACGCACAGTGTTCGGGTTCGGTTATGATTATCACGCTATCGATTCAGTTCAGTTCGATATCTCAGTCGTTCGATGATCACAGTCAATTCAATGATCACAGTGAATTAACATTACTTTCCAAACTAAATTTTACTAAACTGTACCTTTTAATTTTACCTGCTCAAAGAAAACACTCTTTTTGAATGTATCAAACAAAATTCAAGTACATGCACAGAACAACATGAGCATTTAAAGCAAATAAACAAACTTAAATATTATCCTGCTTGCTTTTTGAGCGTTGTTGAGCAAGTTCTTAAACAACTGTTTGGTCACATGCTCAACAGAAAAGGCTGCAATTGGCTTGAACGCTCTGGTGCTGTTCACCGATGAGTAAAACTTATAAACGGCAGCCGCGATCAGCTGATTCGTGATAGACGCGGTGGTGAAAACTCGCTCTGCAGACACGCTCATGTAAAGATCTAAGTATTATAGCAGCCGGTAGGAGAGGCAATGTCACACCAGCAGGTCAAAGGTCCACAGTGTGATTAGTTTACAGCTTTAATTTTCTCCAGTAAAATGCGGGCTTCTGCTGTAACTTCAGTGTCAGAGAAAGACTGTCCAGCAAACACACATGCAGTGAATTGTGCACAGTTTCTGCGTTTTTTAAGTAGCTGGAGTGGTTTAATTACTTGCTCTTACCTCCCTCGCCATAGCTGTGTTAGGATCTATTACTGAACCAATACTGAATTGTCAGCGTCTGCATTGTGGTGCACGGAAGAAACAATAAATTTTGACACCCCTAACACAAACATTTTACACCTGCCTAAATGTAATTATTTCTGGTCTTCTTTTTTGACATGCTGTCAAGTGCTCTTAATATTTCTGTGAAACCCTGCCTAATAATTGAAATTTTTGGTTTTCGCCCTCCTGGGGGTTTAAAAAAAAGTGCAATATAAATTTTATTGCTTTTGCCTCATTGTTAGCCAGAAGGCAAATCTTGCTAAATTGGAAAAATCCCCATGTGACCCTGCAAATCTGTCCTGGCTGTAGGACCTATTGGGCTCTATTTTAATGATCTAGGCACAAAGTCCAAAGCGCAGGGCGTGTGTCCGAATCCACTTTAACTATTTTAACACCAAAAAATACATTTTGCGCCACGGCGCATGGTCTAACAGGGTTGAGCTTATTCTCTTAATGAGTTATGGGTGTGTTTTGAGAATAAATCAATCAGAGTCTCATCTCTCATTCCCTTTAAGAGTCAGTTGTGTCGCACCATGGCGCATTTGCTATTTACATGACAGACTTTGTAAGTGAAAATACTGAACACTTCACTGGCTAGAAAACTGTTAAACAGGGCATCAGCAGCGCGAGAATGAGAGATTCTTTACTTTCGCTTTCACTCTCTTTTGCGTATAAGGAAACGTGTTGTGCGCACAGACATCCATGCGTCTACAAATGTAATTTTTTTAAGCGCAAAGATTTGTTTCAAAACTATTTCTAAATTCAGTTCTAGTTTCCGGCAAATTAAAAAATGAACAATATTAACAAAGTGTGGTCAAAAAACGGAGTTATATCCAAACACACATGCTATGCCCTTCATAGTCCAAAACCGGTGGACAAATCTAAGCTTGTTTTTAATAAAACAAATATAAATCTGCATATAATAAATAATATTAATGATAATAATAACATTATACAAAAGCAAATTGTCATGAATAAAAAAAAAAAAAAAAAAAAGCCACCAGAGACGAAGAAGGCATGAAGACAGTGTTTTTTATATTTATGTAGAAAATAATAATTATTGTATTATTTTATACCTTCAATTATTTTTTATTTGTAAAGATATTTGCGTATTGCTGTACATCTTGAGTGTATTAAGCAATGTGTAAGCGAGGCGCACAACTAACGCGCTCTGCGGTGGACTTTTGACCTGCTCTCAGCTGGTCTATTGCGCAGTCTATTTTAGTTCCTCAAAACAGTAACGTGCCAGCAGTGCACCTTAACACACCTCATTTTTCAGACCAGAACGTCTATGGGAGCACGTGAGCACAAATGCATTTGCTATTTAAACAGCGTGGTCCAAACCGTGAAAAACGACTCTTGTGTGGAACAAAAACTAGCAAATAACATTTGCGTCGCATATTGCGCCGGGTGTATGATAGGGTCCAATGTCTTTTTTTTACATTTGAAATGAAATACTCCATTAGGGAAAGGGGAAGTCATATGTCGAGACTTTTTAATAATCTTTTGTGGTTTCTTTTGTCGAGACCTTACCTTCTTTGAGCTTTACCTTCTTTGTAGACGTAAGCCCCCCCTTGTTTTTTCTTTCATCTTCTTCTTTTAGTATTTAGCATACATTTTATTCTTTTTTTTATTATTAACTAATTTGATTTTATTATTATTTTTGTGGGGTTGGTTTAGAATAAGGGTAATGTTTTGGTTGTTTACATAACTGCATTTCATTATTACAATGTCCAAAACAAGCAAATTATACCATTCAGTTTACATGTCATGTACTTACTGTCATTCAAGTTTTTGCTTAATAAAGTATTATAAAATAAACTGGTGTAGAAGAATATATTTAAATAAGCGTCCTTTCAGGATCTTTTCAGTTTTATAGCTATTATAGATGTTCATGTTTATACCCAAACTATGAACGTTTATCCAGTGCTTCTGTTATTTAATAGTCTGTAAATCATAAATGAGTAATTTTCCATGGCAGCTGACATTTATCTAAATATATTTACATTTGTCATAATTAAGATTTACTCATAATTTACATGTCAATTTCTGTCAGACTTTTGCTTTGAAATAAAGTTTGTCATTTTGTTGTCAGATAATGTAAAAATCCTACTAAAAACAACTTGAACAACTTGTATATCAGTTTAGCCACCGCTATAAGTGCTGTGGTAACCATCCACAACCTCAGGGTTAATTAAATACGACAATTAAAAGCATACTTGGTAATGTGTGTCTCAATCTCCTGAGCTTTGGAGCCCCAGAGGGGAGATCGGGGTCCTGCACTGTCAGGAGATGTTGGAGGTCCTTCCATCAGCCACTGGTCTCGCAGGGACTTTCTCTGTCAGAGAAACAGGCAGAGGTAATTAAAGTGGCCTGTACATTATTTAAATGTGTCTCTTATCAGCAGTTCACACTCACAGCCAAATAAAGAAGCTACAGCACACTGCTTACTGGAGCACACTGACACCAAAAGTGACACAATTGCGATACAAATGCAACAATGCTGTTCTATTCAAACCACTGAAATTTGCACCAAAAGACACAATGACTATGAGATGTAGCAAAACAGGAGGTCAACAGGCAAATACGACCATCCAGTGTTCGGCTTAATCCCCATGAGTGAAAAACAGCAATACTATTTATATGAAATTATTGTTTATCCACTTGCTTTTGCTTGATTTTTCAAAACATCATGTGCCTTTTAATTCACAGTTTAATGTAATCTCGTTAGTTTAGTGCATATATAGAGTCTAAAATCAAGCTACAAAATGTAAATAGTGTTATTTTTGATAACACTATTGGTTGGATTGAAGGATAAGTTTAGGTTAGTTGTTATTACATTAGCCCCTTTCATCAGTATTGAGTACAACTCCAATGAAAACATAGAGAAACACTTTCGCATGTCGAGATGTACTTGATATGTGTGTGTGCTGGCGCTATGGGCGCTCAAGGGCACATGCAAAGCTTGAAGGTAAACAACAACGGATTATCATAAACATTTTATCGATAATTATTTACACAGTTGGCATTAAGAAGGAACATAGAAACATTATCTGACTAACATCTAGCAGCTAAAGGTGTCTGGAAAAATATTCAAAGGCTTTTATTCTCATAAACTGCGCGCACGTGAATGCGTCTGACTGTTCTGATTGGCTAAAGTAGACGTTTCACGTCAGCACGTCCTAAACGTGTACACGCTCTTTCCGGCAATCTTCCTTCTGCATTCACACAGCGCAGCATTTCGGAAAATTACTGGTAATGTTACAACTTCTCTTTCCAGAAAATAGCCGGAACAAATTTACCGGTATTTTCAAAAAGGGCCTGTTCACACATACAACCTTTCCGGAAAATTGCCAGTAATTTTCCGGAAAGGTCTGTATGTGTAAAAGGGGCTAGTGATGTGTACAACAAGCCCTGCTTGTATCAGATGTGTATCTGAAATTCAAATCAAAACGTAACAGTTTTTATACTTAAAATGTAGACCGCGCCCTCTAGTGGATTTGTTATCTGAAAAAGCAACGAAACGTTTCATAAAGTGACTTTTATTTACATTGTTATGTATAATATAGACTGAAAAAAATTTGAAAAATTAACTTTTAGCAGATGAATGCTTTAAAATTGATATTGATATTGTTTCTCCTGGGGAAAAAGTAGTCTCTAAAATGACAGTGTCTTTCCTCCTAATTTTGTATATACACTGTGACAAAATGTAGGGTTCCACACAATTCCTTCAGGTTGTCCCAACACAAATCGATTAAGTTAATTCAATTGTTTTTACATATTTAAGTGGATTGAACATAAAACAATTAAGTTGTCACATGAACCCTCACAAATTGTTGAATCAGCTCATTTTAAATAAGTAGTTTTAAAATGGAGCAGAAAAAAAACTTTACAAAAAGCATTCATACGCTGTATAAAAATGCTGAGTTCCACACAATCAAAGTGTGTTGGGACAAGAAGGAGAAATAAAGTTAAAGTTTTTACATATTTAAGTGGATTGAACATGAAACAATTACATTTCCCCCCTTAAAAAACTCAAGATTTTAGTTTAAGAGCTCATTTTAACCAAGTAGTTTGAACAAACAGCAAACGTTATTTTTTATGTAAAGCTGTTTGTTTAACCACTTCATGCGGTCTTCAAAGCAGTGCAAATCTAGAATCAGAAAAGTTGCAGTGCTCTAGGAGTGAATAAATCGGCTGCAAAACATCTTACACAATTTTGAGAATGCCAAAAGGTTAAAGTCTGAAATGAAATTTCCTGCTGTGTAATGTACTTTCAGTCCTTTGGTAATTTCAGCTCCTGCTGCAAAAACAAGTAACGACTCGTTTCTGAAAGGATACATCAGAGGAATCAGAACCGCTAGAGTGTTTTTTGTGTGTGTTTAAATCAGTCATAAAAATGCTCATGTCTGTTTTGACGCACACATGCAGATCAACGAGAAACTCCGATAAATGCACACAGGAAATGATGAACATGAAAACTGAAAAGACATCTAATAAAAGCTAACACAAGACAGACTCTACTCTGCACATTAACATATTATTTAACATGTCATAGTTGTTGAATTTAACCAACATTTTACCTTTTCTGTCAATTTTCAAACCAATGAACTTTTTATTCACTTTTCACTTTATAGTTTATCTCATGATGATGATTCTCTAAAGCATTTTTTGTTATGAAGTGAAAACCTTTGGTAGAGTTTCAGAGAAAAATCTAGAGCTGTGAATTTGCTGTTAATGATGTTTATTTTTGAGCAAATATTGTTTAAAGGTAAATTATAATTATGATGTTTCATTACAATCATCTATCAAGAGGCGTTCGGGTGGGTCGACCCACCCCTCACTAAAAAAGGTCCAGAATTGTCCCATAAATAAGCCCTTTTTAGTCCTGGTTTGACTGCCATGCCAGCATACAGTAAATATTAAAAATAATCCATCGATAAAGGCTCTAAGACTAAGTGGAATCCTCTGTTGGCTGTCTCTTTGATGTGACTGCAGTTAATCAGTTTTTTTCAAGTCCAAGCTTCGCAAGAAAACATACAATCTGACGTAGGTGTAATCAACTTTTGCTACTGTATTGTTTTTAAATAGAGAAAACATTTTACAAGTAACTTTTATTCTAAATCTTGGACCTTATTCTTGAAACAAAAAATGACCAATGCAGGATCTGTTCACTAAAGTATATGTCATTCTCAGGCACACATGCGTTCTCTTGATGGTAAACAAACAGTCCGTCAGCTCACGTGTGATTTCACGACCACAAATACATTATTACATTAAGACAGAAGTGACATTTTTAGGTAAATTATACCCTTATAAATATGTTATGTGACTTTTTATTTTACACCATTTGGAGGTGTTTACATTGCTGAGCAATAAAACAATGTGAAGACTTGTGTGACCACCTTTATGCTTCTCCCAAACTAATGCAAACAATTATTTTTCATGAGTCTAATAAATACAATCTGATGAAAGTGAAGTCCTCTTTCACTACTATATTCTTAAAATTATTCTTCAAACAAAAAAGACCAATAAAATATTTAAAGTACTAAAAGCAGCTCATATTAAAATCAATGAATTTTTAATTTTAATCTTTCAAATGGCTAAATTCTGAGGATAGTTGAATGTGCTGGCCAGTTTGATATTTGTCTAATAAATGACAGTAGGCCACAGTTTTAAATTTAAAACTTTTAACAGATTCTCTTTTTTTCTACAAATGATATGTTATAAATTTGTAAAATATGTATTTTGTACATATTGTAAATCTTTAGGAATTTTTTTGTACATTTGAAACGTGTAGTTATGATGACCAGCTAACAAGCTAATCCAGCTAAAAATGTGCTTAAAATATCACTAAAATGCAGTATTTAAACCTCATAATTGAACCAAAAATGAGACAAAAACCTGCAAAAAGGTCCAGTTTCTGTTTTAAAAAAACCCACCCCTTCCACCAGACTGGATCCAGGCCTGTCTTTATGAGTCATTTAATTTGAGGAGTAAATGACTGTAATGTTTCATACAAATGATGACAGTGTCAATAAAACTAATCAAAGTAAAACAAGAAAATGACTAGCCGTGTGAGTGTGAACAGTTTGCTTAAGGATGTTGTTTTTCTACACGTACTGAACAAAAGGGCTAATAGTTAAAGTAACACCCGTAAATGTACACACACCTTCTGTGTTTATATTAAAAAAAATTCTTGGAACCAAGTAAGAAAACAAAGGAATAGGAAGAGGGAACGCCAATCTGGAAATATTATGAAAACAATGGAGAGCAAACACACACACACACACACACACACACACACACACACACACACACACACACACACACACACACAAAAGTCGGAGGAGTCATGAAACCTTCAGGATAACGTTTCACTTCTCAGGATGTGTGTGTGTGTGTGTGTGTCTGTTTGTAGACACTGAATGGTGGATTTTGTATTATATGTGTGGCTCTGGTGACGGTGTGTGTTTTAGTTGTGTGTATGCATGCAAGCCTTTCATCTGTGAAATTAAAGCCTGTGACGCAGCCTGTTTAAACGCAAACGTGACCTGACGTGTCTGCTGCTAAATAAGGTCAAGCAGATGGGTGTGTGTGTGTGTGTGTGTGTGTTAAATTATACTGAACTATAAACTATTCCAAAAAAGCAAATAACCAAAATAGTGTATGTTTGTGTGTGTGTTTAATTGCTACAACATTTCAAAATAAGCACAATAATGTATAACTATAAATGCTTCAAATTAAGCAAACTAACTGCATTAGTGTGTGTGTGTGTGTGTGTGTGTGTGTGTGTGTGTGTGTGTGTGTGTGTGTGTGTGTGTGTGTGTGTGTGTGTGTGTGTGTGTGTGTGTGTGTGTGTGTGTGTGAAAATACTATAACAACAATTCAAAATAAATACAATACCATATGGTCTGTGTGTGTTGAATTACTAATAAACTTCAAAATAAGCAAACATAGTATTAACCACAATAGTATATGTCTCTCTGTGTGTGATAAATTACTTTATATTATAAATTATGGGGCTGTTAATTGCTTGATTCTGATTGGCTGATGAATATCCAACAGTGTACAAAAGTAGTTCCAGCAGGCCACTTTTGACCGTAGTGCAGTTATATCTCACGGTGCTGAATGATTTCAGTTATTTCACCGACACAGCAGTCAGAAACCAAAACAAAAGGCTTTAGATAGGAAATTTAGTACCACACATGAGCTGTTTGAGGAAAAACCTGAAAAATGTCCTGAATTACAACATCTGAACAGTGTCTAGAGGTGCTGTGACCGTAGTTTAAATGTAATAATTGACTCCCACAGAATTATTTGAAAATAACGCACATCCAAGGTGTAAAAGCCACTCCACAATGGCCTGCCATCAATTATTCCATACACAAACACTTCCAAATAAGTATGTGTGTCTACTGGTTTTCGTGTTTTACATGGACACATTTATATAATGGCCTGGGTATGACCGTGGTATTACAATGTTGAAATTGTTTATGAGAACATGCTTAAAGAAGATACTAAACAAGATTTATAATTTAAAATTGGCCACAGGTTTTCCATGTGGTTTGGGTTTAGTGGTGGGGTTAGGGTAAGGCAATTTCTGACAAATTCAAGTGTGACAAACATGCAAAAAAATGTAATCAGTAAGGGGGCAAACACTTTTTCACACCTTAAGCTGCTGTAGTCTCAGTCTCTCGTCCTCCATCTCTCTTCTGGCTCGCTCTTGTTCCTCCTGTACCCGCCGTTTCTCCTACAAGCAGACAACATCACAGACTATATCATACTATATACTTAAAAGATCTTTTGGAGAAAGCTGACATGCTGTTTCCTATCCTGACACATGCTTTGCTTTAAAGAGGAATCCTGCTAGCTTGATGCTCTTCAGTTTTGGCAGGGGATGTCGAATCTACCAACACTTTCTGCTGAAATCTCACTTTTTCTGTACTTTTACATCTGTCTGTCTGACGTAAATACTGACTGATCAACAATAACACGGCTGTGACAGAGATTACTGACCCTGTGGAATTACTTTAATTCGTAAATGCAATTTACTGGATGACAGGACACAACCATTAATAATAATAATAATGATAATAATAATAATGATAATAATAATAATTTTTAATTATTTATCGACCCATTCAAAGATTATTTTAATTATAAAAATCATATATAATGGACTTAGTTTTATTATTGTTCATAACAATAATAATCAATCATTCACGATCATTCAAATGTTAATTAATAATAATAATATCTACACCTATAATGATAATACTAAGATAAATTATATTGAGAGGAATAATGCACATCAACAATTAAATCCATAACAAAAGCATATAATAATAATAATAATTAAAGCTGCAAGCAGCGATGATAGGGACCTCGCACCCGGGCTCACCGCCGCCCAGTGGCCTCAGGATGACAGAGAACATCGAACAATATTAATTTATGGCGATATATATAAAGAACCTGAGAAAATCACAGATTTATGCCAAACTTCCTCCTGTCAGCAGGTTGCGCTTGGACTGTGTGTCAATATTGGCATGTAGATGTCTTTAGGAGATAAATTTTATCAACCATGTAATTTTTCAGGCAGATCGAACATTGCTTGCCTGAGTTATAAGTAACTTCCTATTGTCAGCAGGTGGCGCTATGACTGTGACTGGATATTGGCTTGTAGATGTCTTCAGGAGAGGATTTTATTCAACCATGTGAATTTTCAGGCAGGTCAGACATTGTGTGGCTAAGTTATCAGCCAAACTTCTGGTTGCCAGCAGGTGGCGCTATGACTGACTCAATATTGTTATGTGGATGTGTTCAGAAGAGGACTTTTATCAACCATGTGAAGCTTCAGGCAGATCGGACATTGTGTGGTTGAGTTATAAGGACTTCCTGGTCAATGGCAAAGCGTTGAGGTTTGTCATGCCACCACGGACACACCCCTCTGCGAAAACTCTAAAGCTTCGCAATTTAACATCGCCAAGGCCTTTAGATGACAAAACCAAATTTTGGTGTTGATCGGATAAAATCCCTAGGAGGAGTTCGTTAAAATACAACGTCTGGAAATGGCAGAAACGCCACTTTTTTTTCAGCAGGAAGTTAAAAATATCCGACTTCCTGTTGAGTTTGAGATATGGCACCAAGAGACTTTTTCGTATGTTTTGGCATGTTTGAGGTGTGTGCCAATTTTCGTGCATGTGCGTGATTCGTATATCAGGGGCTCATCCAATTAATTTTTTTAGGTGGCGCTGTCGAGTTGATTTGCCACGCCCACTTCAATATTGTTATGTGGATGTGTTCAGGAGAAGACTTTTACCAACCATGTGAAGTTTCAGGCTGATCAGACATTGTGGGGTTGAGTTATGAAGCCTTCCTGGTCAATGGCGAAGCATTGAGGTTTGTCATGCCGCCATGGACACGCCCCTCTCCGAAAACTCTAGATCTTCACAATATATCATCACTAGAGCTTTTAGATAACACTACCCAATTTTGGTGCTGATACGATAAAATTTGTGGGAGGAGTTTGTTACTCTCTAAAACATGTCATTTCCTGTGGCCAGCAGGTGGCGCTGTAACTGTATCTGGATATTGGCATGTAAACGTGTTCAGGTCAGGACTGTTATTAAACGTGTGAGTTTTGAGGCAGATCGGATAATGCATGTCTGAGTTATAACGACTTCCTGTTTTGTGGCGAATCGTCAAACTTTGCGAGGCCGCCACAGACACGGCCATCGACGAAAACTCTAAAGCTTCGCAATTTAACATCGCCAAGGCTTTAAGATGACAAAACCCAATTTTGGTGTCGATCGGATAAAATCCCTAGGAGGAGTTCGTTAAAATACAACGCCTGGAAATGGCAAAAACGCCACTTTTTCGCCGCGGGAAGTCAAAAATATCCGACTTCCTGTTGGGTTTGAGATATGGCTCCAAGAGACTTTTTTGTATGTTTTGGCATGTTTGAGGTGTGTGCCAATTTTCGTGCATGTGCGTGATTCGTAGATCGGGGGCTCGTCCGTTTAATTTTTCTAGGTGGCGCTGTCGAGTCATTTTGCCACACCCACTTCCAAGACCCATAATAAACGTAAATTTTCGCCACTTCTGAGGCGTGTGCAAAGTTCCGTGAGTTTTCGGGCATGTTTAGCCCCTCAAAATCGCGATTCATTCCGGAAAAGAATAATAATAATAATAATTAAAGCTGCAAGCAGCGATGATAGGGACCTCGCACCCGGGCTCACCGCCACCTGGTGGCCTTACGATTGACAGAGAACAGTGAACAATAATAATTTAAGCCAATATATTTTTAAAAATCTAAGAAAATCACACATTTATGCCAAACTTTCTCCTGCCAGCAGGTGGCGCTATAACTGTGACTCACAATTGGCATGTAGATGTCTTCCGGAGAGGAACCTTATCAACCATGTGAAGTTTCAGGCACATGGGACATTGTGTGGCTGAGTTATAAGCCAAACTACCTTCTGCCAGCAGGTGGAGTTATGACTGACTCAATATTGTTATGTGGATGTGTTCAGGAGTGGACTTTTATCAACCATGTGAAGTTTCAGGCTGATCAGAGATTGTGTGGCCGAGTTACAAGCCAAACTTCCTTCTTCCAGCAGGTGGCGCTATGACTCTGACTCAATATTATTATGTACATGTGCTCAGGATAGGACTTTCATCACCCATGTGAAGTTTCAGGCAGATCGGACATTGTGTGGCCGAGTTACAAGACAAACTACCTTCTGCCAGCAGGTGGCGCTATGACTGACTTAATATTGTTATGTAGATGTCTTCAGGAGAGGACTTTTATCAATCATGTGAAGTTTCAGGCAGATCAGACATTGTGTGGTTCAGTTATAATAACTTCCTGTTCCATGGCGAAGCGTTGAGGTTTGTCATGCCATCACAGACACGCCCCTCTGCAAAAACTCTAGATCTTCACAATATATCATCGCTAGAGCTTTTAGATGACACCACTCTGTTTTGGTGCTGATACGGGAAAGTTTGTGGAAGGAGTTTGTTACAGTGTCAAACATGTCATTTCCTGTGGCCAGCAGGTGGCGCTATAACTGTAACTGGATATCAGCACATAAACCTGTTCAGGTCAGGACTGTTATTAAATGTGTGAATTTTGAGGCAGATCGAATATTGCATGCCTGAGTTATAACGACTTCCTGTTTTGTGGCGAATCATCAAAGTTTGCGAGGCCGCCACGGACACACCCATCTATGAAAACTCTAAAGCTTCGCAATTTATTATCACCAAGGCTTTAAGATGACAAAACCCAATTTTGGTGTTGATTAAATAAAATCCCTAGGAGGAGTTCGTTAAAATACAACGCCTGGAAATGGCAAAAATGCCACTTTTTCGCCGCAGGAAGTTAATAATATCTGACTTCCTGTTGGGTTTGAGATATGGCTCCAAGAGACTTTTTCGTATGTTTTGGCATGTTTGAGGTGTGTGCCAATTTTCGTGCATGTGCGTGATTCGTAGCTCGGGGGCTCGTCCGTAAAATTTTTCTAGGTGGCGCTGTCGAGTCATTTTGTCACGCCCACTTCAATATTGTTATGTGGATGTGTTCAAGAGATGAGGTTTATCAACCATGTGAAGTTTCAGGCAGATCGGACATTGTGTGGTTATGTTATAAGGACTTCCTGTTCCATGGCGAAGCATTGAGGTTTGTCATGCCGCCACAGATACGCCCCTCTCCGAAAACTCTAGATCTTCACAATATAACATCACTAGAGCTTTCAGATAGCACCACTCAATTTTGGTGTTGATACGATAAAATTTGTGGGAGGAGTTTATAACTCCGTAAATCATGTCATTTCCTGTGGCCAGCAGGTGGCGCTGTAACTGTATCTGGATAGTGGAATGTAAACGTGTTCAGGTCAGGACGCTTATCAAGCGTGTGAATTTTGAGGCAGATCTGATAATGCATGCCTGAGTTATAACGACTTCCTCTTTTGTGGCGAATCGTCAAAGTTTGCGAGGCCGCCACGGACACGCCCATCGACGAAAACTCTAAAGCTTCGCAATTTAACATCGCCAATGCCTTTAGATGACAAAACCCAATTTTGGTGTCGATCGGATAAAATCCCTAGGAGGAGTTCGTTAAAATACAACGCCTGGAAATGGCAAAAACGCCACTTTTTCGCCGCAGGAAGTTAAAAATATCTGACTTCCTGTTGGGTTTGAGATATGGCTCCAAGAGACTTTTTCGTATGTTTTGGCATGTTTGAGGTGTGTGCCAATTTTCGTGCATGCGCGTGATTCGTGGATCAGGGGCTCGTCCTTTTAATTTTTCTAGGTGGCGCTGTCGAGTCATTTTGCCACGCCCACTTCCGAAGCCCATAATAAACGTAAATTTTCGCCACTTCTGAGGCGTGTGCAAAGTTTCGTGAGTTTTCGGCCATGTTTAGCCCCTCAAAACCGCGATTCATTCCGCGGAAGAAGAAGAAGAAGAAGAATAATAATAAACGGAGCAATTCCAATAGGGCCTACGCACCGTTTCGGTGCTCGGTCCCTAATTAAAGCTGCAAGCAGCGATGATAGGGACCTCGCACCCGGGCTCACCGCCGCCCGGTGGCCTCAGGATGACAGAGAACAGTGAACAATAACAATTTAAGCCGATATATATAAAAAACCTGAAAAATCCACAGATTTATGCCAAACTTCCTCCTGTCAGCAGGTGGCGCTATGACTGTGACTCAAGATTGTTATGTAGATGTCTTCAGGAGAATAATTTTA